GAGCAAATTTCAGTCACAGCTATCTGACTTGGGGCCTCTTGGGTTCCCAGAGGAGTAAAATTCCTTTCTCCCTTTTAGTAATCCAGGGGTTTTCTCCACCTCTCTGTGTTTCAGGAAGGGCTCCAACCAACTTCTCCCCTTCGCTTAACTCCAGGGAAAAGCAGAATTTGGGGAAGGAAAGGAATGGTGCTTAACATTTACTGAACATTGTTTGCATGCCAGGCACTCTTCTAGGCACTTCATTTGCTTCAGTAAATCCTCAAAAGGACTTGTACAATAAACATTGTTTTCCCATTCTATCCTTTAATTCTTAGAAAACTGAGCTTAGGATTTTCCCCTCTGTGCCCTAGGCACTCCTTAATAATTTGTCATCATCCATCAAGTACTCCAGTTAAAAGTTTTACTACTCTTCCTTTCCCCTTACTCCCATCTATTTAATGAATATTGAGTGCCTACTATGTGCTAAGATGCTGAGGGTACTGTAATGAATAAAGCAAACAAGGTCCCTGTATTTACTCAATTTACATCGGGGAGAAGGGGTGGTGGGTGATAATCGCAACTAATTATTATAATTACAAAAGGGGAATGACAGCCCCAAAGAGAAACTTCCCAGGTGTTGGGAGCGGGGGCTTTATAATCAGGGTGTATGACCTGGTCTGCTTTGGGAGAGGTCAGGCAGCTCCAGAGCTATCTCACTAGTGTGGGGAACAGGGGCAGACTGAGGGTGCTGATGGCTGAAAGGCCCCATGCAAAAGAAATTAGGAAAGTGGAATTAGGAGATTCTGGACTTAGAGACCTGTTAGTCGTGGATAGTGACTGAAATGTTGACACAGCCTCTCGGCCACTTTTACCCTCCAGCCCTGAGCATTGGAAAGATGGAGGAACTAGGTAAGTTCCTGGATTCTGATCCTGATTGTGCCTCTCCTTGCTTGGTGACATAATGGACAAATCACTCTTCTGTAAAGCCTTGGGAGACCTGCATACTTTCCTTAGACTTCAGGCATGCCATGCCCTCTGATGGTGTTCCTTAAACCTTGGGGGAACATTGCAAAAAAAGTGAGAGGAACATATAGGAAAACTACATCTTGCATCTACAGTGATTAAAGTAGTGTAATAGCATACTAGTGGAAATGGGATAGAGTCTAAAAATAAATCCAAGTACAGATGTGAATATAGTATATGATAAAGGAAGTAATATATAGAAATACATAGAGATGGATTATTCAAAAAATGTTCAGAAAATATAGACTGTTCAATATATGGTATTGGGACAATAGATAGCCATCTGGAAAAAAATTAAATCCATATCTCACTTCTTATTCCAAAATATGTTTTAGATGACTCAAAACAAAACACTGAAAAATACACTTCAAAAGCACTAGAAGAAAGTAAGTCTTTGAAAATAATCTTGGAGTCAGGAAGTCCTTTCAAAGCATGACATAAAATCCAGAAGCCACAACACATGGCGTATGGGGGGTCACAGGGAAGACAGTGTAGCACGGGGAAGACAAGTAGTGACTCTGTGGCATCTTGCTATGCTGATGGATAGTGACTGTGGTGGGGTATCGGGAGAACTCAATAATATGGGCAGATGTAGTGACCACAATGTTGCTCATGTGAAACCTTCATAAGATTGTATATCAATGATTCCTTAATATATATAAATAAATAAATAAAACAGAAGCCACATACATACACATGTATACATGGACACATTAAAACAAAACAAAAAAAACAATAAAAAGGAAAAACCATATACACCACATACCACAAAAAAATAATATCCTTAATATAAAATGAGCACTTAACAAATTAGTAACAAGGGACCAACAACTTGGTAGAAAAGTGTATGACAAAACAGTTCACAGTAAAGAAAATAAAAGTGGCTCTTAGACTCATAAAAGATGCCTTTGGTTACCAAGACTATGTATTTCTAGGTACTTATTTATTGATATTGTAGAATCTGGCATCCATCTAATATATTTTTTGCAGCAGTACGTTGAAATGCTCCTGAAAGCAGGAGTGCCATTTGTGTTGTGAGCCTTTCAAATGTCTGGTTTTGCACCATCATAAGTAATCCTTAAAGGAGGAGCATTTCTTCAACTCCCAGATCTCAATGTCTTTAAAGAAAATTAAATTTTCATCAAATTTAGGAAATGCATTTAAATTAATGAAAGTGTTTCTGTAAGTGAAAAAAAAAAGCTTCATTCATAATAAGAGATATGCAAACTGAAATTAAAATGAAAAACTGCTCATTTATCAGATAGGCAAAACTCACCTGTGGAAGGTAACTTGGCAGTATCAACCAAAATTTCAAATGCACACTCTTCTGACTCAACAATTTCTCTTTTTATGAATTTTCCTATATATATACTCCTACAAGTATGAAATGATATGCTTAAAAAATTAATTACAGCACTATCTGTAATAGCAGAGTGTTGGAAACTAACTAGGTGTCCAATAGGGAACTTGTTAAATGATAATACACAGTATAAAGGAATGCAGATGCATGTGTACAGCTAGGGAAAAATCTTCATAATATAAAAATCTGCATAAAAATCTGTGGGGTATACTAGATTTGAATTATATCCATAAGATGGAAATAATAACTGTACCTACTGCACAGGGTTTTTGTGCAGATTAAATGAGTTAAAATAAAAAGCACTTAGAACAATATCCAGGGTATATGTCATTTGCTATTTACCTATATACATTGTTAGTAAAAAGAGCAAGGGCTGAACAGCATGTAAAAAAACCTACCATTTATATAAGAGAAAAATAAGTATTAGGTAAAATAATACCTCTTGAAAATTTCACAATGAATCATTAACAATGGCTGCCTCAAGAGGAACTGAAGGGCCAGGAACAGGGCAATTTATTTTCACTCTCTTTCCTGCTATGCCTTTTAATTTTTTACCATGGGTATTTCACATTTGTTTGAAAAGATAAATTACATTTTTTAAGTAGAAAAATATCAACCAGAAAAACAAAGAAAAATTAAATTTTATAAGATGTAGAAGTTTCAATCTTTTCCATTAGTGTTATTTTGTTAAAATGATTATATATTATAGTCATTAAAAAATTTCTCAAACACTTGCTGCACACTTTTAAATTTCTGATGGAGCATAGTGCTTCCACCTCAAAGCGCGGTCCTCCCACCAGCAGGATCAGCACCACCTAGGAACTTCTTAGAAATGCGTAACTTCAGACCCCATCCCAGACCTACTGGATCAGAGTTCAACAGGGGATTTGTTTGAGGATTTGTCTGGGGGATCTTGTCTGAGGTATGGGGAGCACTAGGCAAGAGAACATAATGAAAATCAAAATACAAAACAGAACAAAAATACTGTTCTATTCTTGTCTATTCTTGACCCCAACCTCTCAAAACTGCTATGGTTAGATGACTCTGGAAAACATTGCTGAGTGAAAGAAGGCAAACACAGAATAATCCAACCTGTATGATTACATTTATATGAATTAAAAAAAAACTAATCTATGCTTAGAAGTCAGGATAAATATTACCTTTGGGGAGAAGAGAGGAGATAAGAGATTGGGGCAGGACGCAGGGGTAGTTTCTGGAATGCTGATAATGTTCTGTTTCTTGATCTGGTTGCTGGTTATTTGGATGTTTGCAAAAATTCTTAAGGATGGTACATTTCTGATTGATGTATTTTTTGTATGTGTCTTATATTGCAATAAAAAGATATCTTTTCAATTCCACTATTATCACCTACCTCAAACCCCTAGATTGTGGTGGGGGAGGACTAGGTAACTTCCACTTAGATTACCTTCACATGCATACACACACTCTCTCTCCCGGATCAGAACTCTTGTGCACTTTAAAAGATGCCTCCTATCGATCTGCATTCATTTAAAAGATGACATAATTACAGTAGAGCTGCAGGGTGCTCTCTGGTGTGGTGGGAGGAAAAAGAGTTATACAAGTTCTACTTAGTGCGTTTTAAGCCTGGATCCACCATTCATTAGTTACATAATGTTGGACAGCTTACTTACTCTGAATTTCTGTCCTATTGGAGAATAATTACAGTCCCACCCTATAGCAAGGCTCTCTGTATTAAATGTGATAATACATACGATGTCCTTGGCACGGTGCCTGGAACACAGGAGGAGCCCATTAATGGTAGACAATTATTTGAGAGTAAAGGTCTTCTCAATTGATGATTCCCAGCTCTACCTCACAGATAATCATTACCTGCAGTTAAAGCTAATCGCTGCAGAGAACATTCTGAAAGCCACTTCTCTGGAAGTTAATTCAGGACTCATGATTCACATGGGAACCAGAATCTGGGGTGCCAGCAACAGGTTTTTCAGGATATTTACTTTCAAAAGCACCTGCCCCATTCTATTGCCCTCAGCTAGCAGGGCAATACCATGTCCCTCGTGGCGTGTTTCTCACGCCTTCTGTTGTGTGTTCCCTTGAGCTTGCTCTAAAAGCTTCTAGACTAAAATTTTCAGGTGGAAATACTTGGAAGCAAACTTCATGCTCTTATTTCTAATCCTCCAGAAGCTCATGATCCTCTTTGCCCATTTCTTCCCTGTTTCCCCTGGTTCCAGGCAACCACATAAAAGAACAAAGCCTCCACACCCATAGAAGGAAAATCTGACAGAGAGATAGGAGACAGCCAAAGCAGTCTTAGTCTTTGCTCCAAGAACTTTTTCAAAACGTCTGCATTTTCTAAAGGTTTTATCTAGGTGATAGGATTATAGCTATCTGGCATTTTTTAAATGATTTTTTGCATTTTCCTAATTGCCTACGATGACCTCTTTTGAGGGTCTTCTCTAATTACAGAAGCATTTTGTGCTCAATGCAGAACACGTGGAAAGCACAAAGAAAAAAAGCCCCCATAAATCACATCATATAAGAATAACAGCTGGTAACACTTGGGCATATGTCTTCCCAGACTTTTCTCTATGCAGAGATGCTTCATTTTTTGTGATCTGGGAAAAAAGTAAACATTTACGAGAACAAGCCTTGGGTCTTTAGTCTTCAATTTTATTTCTGTTTTCAACAGCTTGGAAATGTCCCTAACAACAAGGGCCTGCCCCATGCACTTCCGGAGGTTCCCCTGACCAGCCTGGAGCTGGGGTCCAGGCTCCAGTAACTTCCCCTTACCCACACCAACCATCAGGCCTACCTTCTCTCCATCTCCAAAGACTTGGGACAGAAGAGGGTCTCCAGTTAGAGGGGAAGTTGAGACTAAGGAATGCTGCTTGGAAGCACTGGGCTCAGACACAGCTACCTTTGTTAGTCTCAGGATATTTCGGGATTTGGTAGCATGCGCAGACAGACTGTGAGAGGGCGTGAAGAGGGGCTCCTGGATTCCTCTCTAGCCTCACTTGTTCCTGGGCCAGCCCTACAGCCCCCCTTACTCTTGCCAGGCTCAGTGCTTTGCCTTTCAAAGCCGGGCAAACAGTAGGTAGCCTGTGATAACCCAGCATGCCTTGCTGTGACCTGGCCAGCTACACTTTACTCCCTGACTAGGGAGGGTGGGTGATCAGGAAGGTGACAATGATGCAGACCTGAGAGTGCCCCACTGTCTCCACCCCAGGATTTGGGATCTAACTATACCAGCCCCTTACCAACTCTTACCTAAAAGGGACTAATACAAGGGCAGATCTTTGAGAGGAGGGGCAGATTTGGGCACTTAAGCCCCAAGCATGGGCACAGCTGGGTTCCTGGGCCAAAGACACCTTACTGCATGCACTAAAGCAGCAGGGACAGTTGAGCCACGAGAGAAGGGGCCCACAGGGCTGGATCCACCCTCCCCCAAATTCTCTCCACACCCATGGAAACATAACCACCCCCTCCTGCCAGCTGCCTAGGTTTAGACAACCAGGCCTGGCCCATCTCTACCAGCCAAGACCTGAACTGGTGCCAGGCTGGCCACAGAGTGGCTGCAGGAAGAACTAGGATTGGGCGATTTGGTCAGTCCAGGCTTCCAGCACAGCTTGGGAGGACTACCACAGGAGTCTCCATGCCTTGCTGCCTGGGCTGGGGTCAGACAGGGCTTAGTCAGCCTGCACAGGCCAGCAGAGCCACCCACATGGCCCCGGATGCCCTCTGCCTGTGGCTAACAGCTACTGTGGGGCAGTAGCCCTTGCTGCAGAAGCAGCCTCTGGGCCTCATGGAGGGGGCTTTCTGGCTGCTGCTCTTCCTGCTCAGGCCGCTTAGCTAGCCCCCCAGGGCTGAGGATGTACCGACAGTTACTGGGGGTGGCCCTCTCTTCCCCAATGCCATTGCCATGCCCAGCCCCACTGCTGGCCTGGTCCCCATCAGGCAGCTCCACACTGCCTCCCTCAGCAGGCTCCTTGGCATCCTCGAGGTTGATGTACAAGGGGTCCTGGCTGGTGGACAGCACAGACAGGTGGCCCAGGATGTTTTCCAGCTCCATTCGCAGGCACGTGAAGCTTGGGCGCTGCTTAGGGTCAGCGCTCCAGCACTGGTACATGAGCTCATACCTGGGGCAGAAAGAAGAAAGGGGAAGGGTGGTCCTTCCCTCAAATGCAGGGGCCCCTTAATTATTTGGACCCAGAATTTTTAAAATTTTTATTTAACACACTCATGTATGGGGCCTACTATGTGCCTGGCACTCTTCTAAGCATTTCACATTTAATTTTTAATTCTCACAAAAATCCTATGAAATAAATGATCCCTATTTTAGCAATGTGGCGATTGAGGCACAGAGAGGCTAAGAACTTTGACTAAGGTCACACAGGGAGAAAGTGATGGAGCAGCCTTTTAAAGCCAGGTGAGCTGGCCCAGAGTCCCTCTTATGCTGTCTTGGGAGGGGGTACCAGCAGTGTTTTTGTCTTGCAGAACACTGCCTGTGGTCAGGGTTATTTTAATAAAGTGGATTTCAACATCCACCCTTTGTCCTAAATCCTCACCTACCCAGGTAATTTTAAATCCTCATTGTTCATGAACATCTTTGAGAATCTGAGAAAAGTTTCCAGCCTTCTTCCCCTAGTAGGAACACTTTTTACATACAACTTCAGGAGCCTTCCAGATTTCCTGAGGGTCTTATCCCCATTCTAGGGAATGCCTCAGGCTGGGAAAAAGGAGAAGAGAAAACAACAGGGAGGGGCTCAGACCAGATCTAGTCAGTGCAAATGCCTGCTGCTTTTGCACTATAAATGCCCCCCACACTTTCCTACACCAGCCCTCCTGACAGGGGCCCCCAGTGGAGGGAGGAATCATGCCTGACATTGAGCAGGCCGTGGGAATGGTCCACAGCCATGGGTATGTGGCCAGGCTGGGATACATTGTCAAGGCTGTGCTAGCGGCCAACTGGCACCTGTCCACCAGGCTTACTGGTGGGAGGCCAGCACCTGCCCACCCTCTACTGACAACACAAGCTCCAGCCCAGGGGGAGACTAAGCTGGGGGCTGGTCCCCTCTGCTCAGAAGAGACTCTGCAGCTCCAGATGCCCAGGCAAGCTGCAGCTACAGGGAGAGCTGAGCCTCTGGGTCCCTGCCATGCCCTGAGCTCTGCTGAATGCATAGGAGGAATATTCATGCAGTCAGATTCCCTTTGCATGAGGTTGGGGAGTAACACGAGAACAGGCAAATAACCACTGCATCATGGTTAAGAGTCACATGTTCTCACGTAGGGATCTAGGTTAAAGCCCCAACCCACCCACTTAATCGCTGTGCAACTTTGGTCATATTACTTAACCTCTTTACTCCTAGTTCCTAATCTAAAAAACGGGGATAGCAGTCTTTTCCTCATAGGATCAGAGGATTACCTAAAAGAATGCCTGTAAAGTGCCTTGCTGTTAGTGACACTGCCTCCCAGTCCCAAGGGGTTCATGACACTCCCTGTGCAGTGGGTATACCAAGTCCCCGCCCTACTTCCAAGGGCTCCAGGCTTGCAGAAGGAAAGAAGGCAGTTTCCCTCTCCCCAGGATCTCCATTTGTTATCTTAGGTCCCTCCACTCCTTCAAGAGGAAGCCAAGACAAGAAAGGAACCCAGCCTCCCGCCCCCAGCACCCCCTCCTTGTCAAGCAAGAATGTGATGGAGCAGCAGTTTTTTTCTTGCCCCTGTGCAGCCCTCTCTGAGGGGGAGGGAGGGCTCAGCCTAGGAAGTTTTCTTAGACTAGCTGGAGACTGAGAAGGAGTGGGGGCAGGGAACCAGTGATGGGAAACCTGCACTGTTGTTCACCCCAGCACCTTTGCCCTAGGGGTTCCTGGTTCTCCCTGGAAACTAAAGAAACCTGAGTGATAGGAAAAGGCTGGAGCAAGAAATATGGGATGGGAAAAGGGGAGAGGAAGAAAGCAGGGAAGTGACAGATGGAGAGGAAGCTTGGGGTAAAGGTCAGTCTTCCCTCTAATGATAAGGACATTTCTATCACCACCACCCCCAAAAAAAGGTCCAGTCCAGGTTCTGAGCTCCCACTGGGCCAGCAGCTGTGGGGGCAGCCTTCAGCTGAAACCGCAAATTCCTGTCTCCTCCCAGAACCCCCTACCCAGGGCACTCACACGTCCTCTATACACTCTGGAGGCTGTTTCAGGCGGTTCCCGCCGATGAGGTAGTTGTAAATCTCAGCGTTCTCAATGCCAGCATACGGCGTCTGCCCACGAGTCATGATCTCCCACATGGTCACCCCGAAGGCCCACTAGGATAGAACCAAGGTTGGAGGGGAGGTTTTACTAGGCTTCCTGAGCCAGGCAAGCACATCTGGAGGCTCAGGGTCCTCCAAATGGGGCAGCCAAAGCCCAGAGAGCAGGGCTGGCTAGGCCCTCGAGGATCCTAAAGGTCTACCCATCCACCAGTCCACACAACTCACATTACCACCAAGCTTCATTATGTCATCCAGCTCACCACATCACTGTGCACAGTGTATAGGTTGTCAGCCAGGCTCTCCAGGGCCAGCCACTTGACAGGCAATTTGGAGGCACACCCCTGACGATAGTAGTCACCGCTATAGATCTTCCGGGAGAGCCCAAAGTCAGCCACGCACACCGTCATGTCTTCTGCCAGCCTGTGACGGGTGTTAGAAGATGAGGTCAGCCTTTCTCCATGCTGGCAGCCTTACTAAGGCTAGGGCATCTTGGCTTGTAAGCTGTCCCCACACAGAGCAGATACTGTTCCAGCAGGAGCTGACCATTAGCCAGCTCCTCCTAGCACTACCCACTCCCTCCCAACCACAACCCTCCAGAATTCACATACATGCAATTCCGAGCAGCCAGGTCTCGGTGGATAAAGTTCCGGGAGCTCAGGTACTCCATGCCACAGGCAATGTCCACCATGAAGCGGATGAGGGTCTGCAAGGGCAGGTTCTGGGGGGCAGAGACGGCAAGCTCAGCCTGGATCTGTCCACCCAGCCAGAGCAAGGTGAATGGGGTTCCCTGGCAAGACAGCTTAAAGACTATGCTCAGAAGCACTGTAAGTAAGGGGCAGAGGGGCTTCCCAAGGCGAGGAAACTTCTGCAAATTTGACAGAGACACGACTCCCCCAGTTTGGGGTTTCATGGGTCTCTTCTCCTGGCAAGGGACTTTGCCTACCCTAAAATACCCAGCAGGGTTTTGTGAGGGCGAAGGAAGCCTGCTGACATAGAGTCAAACTCAGAGCTTGCCTTCTCTCAACCAGCTCAGTCAGCCCTATCCACCAAGCCAGCCTCTCTCCCAGTCTTTGTCCCTTACCAACTCCTGGCCATTCCCACCCCAGACACTCACAAAGGGGTTCTCCCCAATCCGGGAGGCGAGCAGGAAGGCGTGCAGGTCCCCGTGCTTCATGAAGGGCAGGATGACCATGGGGATGGGGAGACGGCCTTTGGCCCTGCTCCGGAGGCTCACCCCTGGGACAAGGGAGAGTCAGGAGTAGGGCACATAAAGGTCAAGGGATGGCTCAGGCGTCTGCATGAGCCCACACCTGCTGGGTCCTACTTCTAGCCCTGGCTCTGCTACTTCTTTCCCCACCAGTGCCACACTGGTGTATAGTACACGGGAAGGGCTCTGGCTGCCCCCCAGATCTCTGGAGCATCATCTCTGTCCCTCCTCCTTTTCTGTTCACATGAGCAGTCTTCCTGTACTGACTTTTGGTACAGGGCCTGCAAACTAAACTCCTTACCTGGAGTCTGATCAGATTTCAGCCAAGACCCACCTTGTTATGTTGTCATCTGCTTGCTCACCAGGAAGCCCAAACTTCTCTTCCACAGGCTGCCCTCCCACTTTGGGGAAGCACAGCTTTAGCCCTGTTTTGTATCTGCCTCCCCCAAGGAGAGGCTCACCAACAAGCTTGGCCACATGCGGGTGGTCAAATTCCTTCATGCAGGCTGCTTCCCTGAGGAACTCTTCAATGTCGCTTGAAGCAATGATGTCAGCTGAAAGAAAAGGATGGGAAGGAGGGAATGAGGGAGATGTGCCCCCAGTTCTGACTCCAGACTCCTAAGCCTTGTCCTTCAGATGTCCTGGGCTTCCCAGGGGGCCCAGGGAACAGTCTGGCTACAAGCAGTAAAAACCCATGCACCACAGACATGCTATCCAAAGATTCCTCCACTTCCAATGCCTTCCCTTTGTTTTGGGCAACCCAGCAGATCAACGAACCACAGCACTAGTCACCCTGAGTGAGGCCAGAGGACAGTCACTGCTGAGGGCAGAGAGCAAAGCCTGGGGAACAAAGGTGTGTGGGTTTATGGCTGCTAATTACTCATATGATACAGAGAGTACCCCAGTTAGTGCTGACTAACTCCTCTCAGAAAGTCCAGGAGCCCAGCAGAGCCCACTCCAGTATCAGTCATCCCCTTCACCCTCCCAAGTGATGCCCTCTCTCCACCTCTACTCTTCTCCACTCACCTTTCAACATCTTTACAGCCACTTTCACAAAGGAGCCATCCTCCTGCTTCAACTGGGCCTCCCGCACTGAACCAAACTCTCCTAAGAACCGATCCAAATGAGGGTGAGGCCCTTGCCTTCCTGTTTCCCACCCACTTCACTTCCCAACCAGGTACCCTTCATAGGGACATAAAATCATTAGATACTGGGGCCATTGGAGGAGGCTCCCTCATCTGTAGCAAAGCAAAGTATGCTGGCAGTGACTCCTCAGCGCCACCATTCCCCAGACATCCCAGACTCAGGAGTCTATAAGTATAACCTGTTAGGAGCTGCCTCAAAGTAAAGTGTAACCACAGACACCCAGCTAGGGCCACTCCACTCATGCCAACCCCTACACTGACCCACATACCTTTACCCAACATCCGGCCCAGAGTGAACTGCTGCTCTGGGATAAGCACATCTTCCAGTTTGTCCTTTAGTTCATCGCTGATGCCCAAGCTGTCCACTGTGGGGAGAGGACTGGTGAGAAAGAAGTGGAACCCTCTCTGGTTCCTGATCCAAAACTCAGCCTGCCTTCTACACCCCGGACTCCACCCTCAGAGCAGAGATGAGCTTAGTCCCACAGCTAGGAATGCGACTTCCATGACAGTGGGTCTGAGTGTCTTTCCCACTGTTGTGTGCTTAGGTCTCATCAAGACTCAGATGTATCAGTCAAATTAATCAGTTAGTAAAAGCAATGCATATAATGACACAAGATAAGCCCATTTTTTCCGTCCTAAGATTCCCCACTACTCACGTGTCGCCTCAATGCGCTCAGGTCTTTCCCGATTGAAGGACCGGGCTGCCCGAAAGTGAATGGCTGGCTCTCCCTGAGCCATGACACTGTCAAAGGCTTGCCTGAAGGAAAACCCAGGACTTGGAGCCAGTACCAAGGTCTTTGGTCCCCACCAGCCTCTCCCTCCATGGCCCTACCCCCTTACCCGAACCGTGTCTCCTTGCGCCTCTTTCGAAGCAGGATGAGGGCCAGGGCAGCAGCCGTCACCAGGGCTGTCAGCACACCCAGGACCACAGGTACCCAGGATGTACGGCTGAGGGGAGGGCCCTGCTGGCCTGTGGGAGACCGGGGCAATGGCATGAGCTAGGCTGACACCAAGGAGTCCTTTTAGAACTTTCCAATAGTGGCCATCTGGCCTGGTCAGGAGGCTCCCTCAAGTCAATAAAGGTCACAAGTGGAAAAAAGGAGCTTCAAAGGAAGACCCAAGAGAGTCCCTACCCTGTCAGTAACAGGCCCTGGCTGATGGGACCTATAATACGACCTGGGATTTCTATGCTAGTTCTGGGGCAGGAGGGAGAATGAGGTGCAGTTTAAATACCAACCCTGGCCTCAACTGCTTGCCTCTGAGCCTCTGGGCCTATTAGGAGGGAAGATGCTGCCAGCCTCCTCCCACCAGTCTAAGTTACCCTGGAAAACCTCAATCCCCTGTCCCACCTCCTTTAGGCTTCACCTGCATGGTCGTGAGAAGAAACCACCAGAGGCAGACTCCAGGGCCCACAGCCAACCGCACTGGAGACACACACACGCACAGTCAGGTCCTTTTGAGGATCCCAGCCTGTCAAGTTGGCCCTGGTCCCCTCCACTGTCAGCTCACCCTGAAACCAGGAAAAGTCCCCATTCCACAGTGAGTCTGAGAAAAGGCCTCCAGTTGGAGCTTGAAGGCAGAAAAAGATCTAGCTAGGAACTGTAGGAACTGGGAGGCTAGGGGCTGTGGTTCAGGGGCTGCAGAATACATCCTGCTGTTGAGTCATCACATTCCTGCTCCAGGCTGCAGAGGCCTCTCCTAAACACACACAGGACCCAGTCCCAGAATGCACAGGTAGGGGATGGGAGGTAACTGGGCTGCAAGATAAGGGGGCCTTATCTGCACCCTCCTGAAGTTTGAACAGGAATGTGCTTCCCTCTTTACATATAAAAAGGCCACCTGATGCAATCCTAACAGGAGACATAATCCAATAAAGGAGTGTAGCCTGCTGAGGAAGGTGGGAGGATGGACACCCAGGGGTGGTGGGAGGCCCAGTCTACCAAGGCCCCCAGGCCCACCAAAGACAGCCATCTGAAGCTCTAAGGCATTAAAGCGCTGAGACCCAACCCTGGTACACCTGGAGAATGAAGGCTTCTGTCTCCCCTTACCTGGGTGCCCCTTACCTGGGTTCCGTTGTCTTGAACCCAGGACAGTTTATAGGATCCCAGGGGGCCTTCCAAAGGGCCCTCAGGGATCACTTCTTCCCACTCCAGGATGAGACCTGAGTCTGTGTAGATGGCATGGAGGTTCTGGGGAGCGCTGGCTGGGGCTGTACCCAAAGAGAGAAGGCTGCTAATAGCCCTGCCCTGCCCACCATCATTATCCCATGCAGACCTTTAGAACCAGCTCCCAAGAACTGAACAGCTCAGAGAGCAATAGGTGGGGAAGAGTCCAATAGGTTGGACTGCTAACACACATAGTCCAGAGGAGGAGGGGCAAGCAATGGCAGGACCTGTGGCACCCCAGCCTGGCAGAGTGTTACTTTTAATCACCTTAATTATTGTCTCCAAGGCAATAATCCTTCACCACACCCCTCTCACAGCCCAGCCAGCCTCCTTGCAATTGCTAGAGAACTCCAAACAAGTTCCTGCCATAGGATCTCACTGTACCCTCTTCAGCAGTAACTTCTCCCTAAATATGTCTCCTTCCTTATCATTCAGACCTCAGATCTCTTTGTGGGGGGTTTTCCTAGACCACCCAAGCACACTCTTCATCACCATATTATCTGATCTTTTACACTTCACTTGTCTGTTCCACCCACCAGCACTACAGCTGCATGGGAGGAGGGCTGGATTTGGTTCACAGGTATACAGCAGGCACTCAGTGTTTGCTGAATGATGCAACAACCTCCCTCTCAGGTAGACCCCAGTCAACTCCATTCAGAACTGGAGCCAATGCATTTTATTGTCCATTCCTCGATAAATAAATAAATAAATAAATAATTTTTAGGCACTGGAGCCAACACAATCCCACCCCACTCACCCAGTTTTGGACCTGTCAAGCCACTGCTCAGTAAGTCCTTACCTAGACCCTTTGTCCGAAATGGCACCCAGTCAGCATACGGAGAAGGTCCCAAGGCGTTGGCACAACGCACCCTGAGGCTGTAGTTGGTGGCAGGTGCCAGGTCCTGAAGCAGGCAGGTAAAAGGTGGCACAGGAACCACGACAGCCAGGACCTCCCAGCCTCCCGGGGTCTGCGTCACCTATAGAAAAGCAGAAAATTAATGGTGTAGAGAAAGAAGATAGAAGATGGGATAGGTATGGGTAGGAGGCAGGGAGTTAATTCATCCTCTAAGTCAATCAGTAAACACTTGCAACCAACCCCTTCCCTCTGGCCCCCATCCCAACAACACACCAGGTTCCACACCTCCATTACATTCCACACCTTTGCAAATGTTCTTCTCTTTGCTTGGGATTATCTGCTCTTCCTAGCAAAGTCCAACTCCTCCTTTAAAATTCAGTGCAGATACCACCCTCTCTGTGAAAGCCTTTCTCAACTTCTTCAGAAAACTCATGCCGTTCTGTGCTTGGTACCTAACCCAAAGAAGTTACCTCTTATCGTAACTGCATGACAGCACCAAGTCTCAGAGCATCTCAAGGGCAGAGTAACTGGGAGCCTGCAGGTACTGTGAATCAGGCCTTTACCTTATATTTTGGGGGCCCAGCGCAAGAGTACTAATGGAGATCCATCTGTGTACCGTATGGCTAAATATTTAAATGTTATTAATCAGCTAACCAATTATTAAGTAAAATATTTCCTGTCTTAATACATTGACAAATAAAGCTTCAAACAACCTGGAAGGGCAGATTCGCATTTACAATCCTCGGAATCTTTGGATTCCCCAGCAAGAATGTGGTGACACAAGACCTAGCCCCCAGCCATGTGTCTGAGGGACATCACGTGTACAGTGTGGCCAGCACTCCTTGCATGCCCATCCCCCAACAAATGGCTGCCCTTTGGACTTACCATACCATCCCCTCTCAAGGATGCATCAGGAAAGAGGCCCACACAGGACCCCGATGCACACTCGCGGTCATAAGGCAAGAAATGCTGCATGCCTACAGTATGGAGTGGTATGGTAGCTGGGGGAGGGAGGTGGACTTTGCTAGGAGGAGCAGGTAATTCCAAGCAAAGGGCTCAGCATTTGCAAAGGTGTGGAATGCAGTCTTGATCTAGCTAGGCATGTCCCCGTGGCCCTACAGATTCCTTGCCCAAAGGCAAGGGGTATGGCCAAAAGAGAGCCAGAGTGGGATCCTCAAAATGGTGGAACCCAGAGCAGGGGCCTCTGCTGCCTGGGGGAACCACCTAGAACACTTTCAAAGTTCTTATTAAATACCTTTTGAGTAAACAGATGAAAATGAACAAGCCTGTACCACCTCTTGTTCTTACTATCACCTTACCCAGGTTTCCCACTCTACGGCTTAGAATCACTTCTGGTTCCCTTGTTCTCTTTGGCATGAATCAAGGGATAGGGCATGAGAGAACAGGGATCAAATAAATCAAAGGTTTAGGCTTTCACCCATGTAAGAAAAACTCTCCCAAGTATCCCAAATTTGCTCTAAAAATCTGCTTCCAGCCTGAAGAATGCACAGGTTTTAGCCCATCTGCAGAGTTACTTAGTTGCCAGAGCACCCTGTGATGGGGGCAATGGCCTGGGCCGTTCCTGGTAAGGGCACAACACCTAATAGAGCTGGAGACCAAGCCTCATGAGCAAATGTAGGTAAATGCAATATGACAGTCAACAAAGTGCCACTGAGGCAGCAAGCACGAACAGGGTCAGGAGAGCCCTACCTGGACGGTACAGGACTGGAGCAGGGCTCGGCCATCAGCACCTGGTGTCCAGACCACACTAGCATTGTTGCTGGAGAGCTTTGTCACTGTGACGTTGAAGGGGGCTGCAGGCAGTGCTGTCGATGGGGAGTAGAGTCAGTCCAGAAAGAGTGTGAGAGGAGGAAGCAGAAAACATAGGAGTCAAGCCATGAGTCCCTAAGGTTTGGGCTCCCACCCAACCTAAAGATGGTTCTTAAGCACTCCCAGGACCAAGTAATATACAAGCCAAGCTCATACCTGGGAGAGTGTGTAGGCTGTGGAGAGAGGTCACCTCTCCCTGAATCAGGGGCCCTGTCTGACCAAGGAATAGGAGGAGATAGTGGGTGTGTATGGGGAGGGTACCTCGGCCTTGGGAGATACAAACAAGAGGCAGTCTCTACAGCCACAGCCCATTCCTCCACACACTGATTCTCTCCCTCCCTTCCTTCCTCCCTCTATGCACACTAGCCCTTTGGGTCTCCTCTGTCATCCTGCCAGGCTGTTTTTCCTCACCCTCATTCTCTCCACAGGGGCTGGCAGAAAAAAGGCTGGGTATGAGCCTTGATCAGCTCCTGCTGGCTCGCTCTCTCCCTCCCTCCCAAGGACTCTGCTCCGTGATGGGAAATCTGCTGTGACGTCAGGTTTCTATTCTCATCTCAGCCGTGGCAGGGTCTCAGGTGCTCCCACTAGGAATGGAGCTATGCCAATTAACCCCTCATCCATCAGATCCCAGCAGGACTGAGGGGAGCTGGAACACCAAACGATTCTAGCTACACCCACTGCTGCACAGCTGGCAGAGAACGCCCCTGCCTCACCCACCTTCTCTCCCCACCAGTCCTCCTACCTTGAAGACGAACAGTGGCTGGGCGTGAAGAGGCCAGGCCTTTTAGGTTGTGAGCTTCACAGGAGAACACAGTACTCTGGGTCACCCCTGGGCCCAGAAAACCTCAGTTAGCCCCCAAGCAGCAACTCCCACTCAATCTGAGGTGAGGGAAGGGGAATACTTGACTCTGAATCTGAAGATCCTGGAAGTCCCTCTGGTTAGAGAAAGGTGCTAGACAGTGGAATATGGCAAATGAACAGGGACTTTGGAGTCTAATGGGCCTGAATATAAATCTCCAGGCTGGGGGCTCTGTTTTCTCATCTCCCAAATGGCAGCACTGTGAGAACCAAATGATGTAACATATGTAAAGTACACAGTAAGCACTTGAAAAATGTTACACACTCCTCCCACCTCAGCCCCATCTCCTGCAGACAGCACAAAGCTGCCTTCCTTTCCTGGTCATGCCTTTATTTCAGAGCCCTTCTCTGTTTGCTCTGTGCCATGTCATTGTTGTATGTGGAGACTCTTTGCCTTATGATAGTTCTTAGCTCCTTATACATGTGTCTTGTCTCCCCAGTTATACTAGCTCGATCCCCCATGGTGCCTAGTACAGTGTGGTGTGTGGAGTAGAGTTCAGTGAGTGCTTATTATCAGGCTGGCTGCCTGAGGGTCTGAACGATGCACATCTGGAGAGAACTGAACCCAACCTCCCTTCTAATCAGCTCCAACCAAGCGTCTGTTGAATAGGACCTGCCTGCACTTCCAACAGGACCCACATTCCCCCTCTTCTCAAGATTCTCATTGCTGGGGGACTGGCAGATCAGAGCCCCTCCCTCTCACCTGCCAGTACATGAGACCAAGCTCAGACTCCCATCTTTTTTGGCCAGTTCAAGCCTCAATCAGAAACATTCACTGTTTCACAGATAATGTGAGCCTCCCACGCCTGGGTATGTACCCAAGGATCTTGGAATCTAGGTGGATGTGCAGGTATGGCTGCTTTGAATTCTAACTGGAGTGATATGAACAGATACAGTTGTCTGGGAAAGGGTCTGGAGATTTCTGTAAAGGGCCATTAGCAGATGAAACCCTGTATCTTTGTGCTGGCTTCCCCCCACCTTTTTCCTTTCCCCTGCTATTCCCCATTCTGCAGCCCTAGACTCTTGTCTTTTAGACAAGTCTGCCAGACACTCCTTCTAGCTCTGCGTGGGCTGGTTCCTGGCTCCCTACCCTGGGAAGGGGGGGATGGGTGCCCCTGGTCCCACACAATTCATCTCCCGGGGCTAGCGGTGCATGGCCTGAACTACTGCAAACAAGGGAAAGAGGCTCTAGCATCCTCCTCAGGCACACACTACAGGATCACCACTAATCAGCCCACCAGGCCAGCCTAGCACACCTGACTAATGGGCTTAGTGTTGGTGCAGCTCACGTGCTCACGCACCAGGGTTTGCTCTGGACACTCACAACAGCAAACACAGTGATTTAAGCAGATCCGAATTGTGCCAGCCTCACCACCCCTGCTCAAAGCCCCTCCTAAAGCTGCTCACCTGTTACATTTAAAACAGAAGGAGAGGGAGCGGGTCCCCCAACCTTTGTGCCTCCTCTCCACCAGACAATGGTAACAGGTTCGGGGGGACCCACAGCTTCACAAGACAGTTGGAAAGGGGCATTGGGTGGCACTGCCAGATCTTTTGGCTCCACAGTGAAAAATGGCACACCTACAGAGAAAAGGGAGGTGGGGAGTGGGCCTTTACCACCTCTCAGCTTCCAACTGCCCAGACCACAAGTGTGCTACCGTCTGAAGCCCTCTGTGTAGAAGGTCCCACAGGTCCTTATGGTGGGGTCAGCTGTAGAACAGGCATCTAGCTTGACAAGGGAGCGTCTCTTCTTTGGTCACTTTAGGAATATCCTTTATGTTGTTCCCTTGGGCATGGCGGATTCTCCCCAGACCTGCTCTGACAGCCCTTCTCAGAACAAGGGAGGAGGCAGAGGGTGGGGAGCTGGGGGAGGGTCAGAAAGGGAGGGAGAGTGGGCGGGAGCTTTTGCAGAGTTCTGGTGGCAGGCCCCAGATCCTGTTCAGGGCCCTTTGTTACTTTCTTACTCACTTTGTTTTCCTGGACTGAACAGTTCTGAGCTCCAGCAGCTGTACAATCCTTCCTCCCTCCCCGATCACTACCCTTCCTGCCCTGGCCACTTGGCAGAACAAGGTCCAGCCCCAGATGCATACTTGAGGCTTTTTGCTCAGACAACTGAAACTGCACCCATAGGTTGAGGGTCCTAGTTTTCCCCTTGGCTCTCAAATACCCAGACTCCAGTGGGTATGGTCTTCGGGTCTCCGAATGCACCTGCAGCAATCAGGCCCCAGAGGGCAGTGGGCAGCCCAGATGACCTTGAGCTTTCTTATGCAGAGGGGTGGTCACCAGTAGACAGTGCCTGCTCCAGGCCAACATGCCCACATGGCTCTGCTTCCTCACCTTCTACCGTGAGCCACACTGGCTGGGAGGTCTCAGTTTCACCCTCATCCTCCACCTGGCACCAGTACCGGCCGGCATCAGAGCGCTCCACTGACTTCAGGCTGTGGAAACAGGATGCCAAGTTCGCCTCCCAAGGCCAAGGGGGCAGCTCTGCTGGGCAGGCTCGATAGTTCAGCCTGCCCCCACTTCTAGAAGTTTCCACAGGTTGTTTAATTTAAAAAAAAAATCACAGACCTCTGGGCCTCAGCATTGCCCCAGTTCCCAACCCCCAAGGAAAGAACACAACCTGCCCTCAGGCTGATGTCCCACACCTTCCCCCACTGTCCTGCACCTGAGGAAGCCAATCCAGTGCTGCTCACTGACAGGGATGTACACCTGATCCACACTCTGGACCACAGCCCCATCCTTCACCCACTGTATCTCAGGCTCCTCCATCCCTTCCACGCTGCAGTTGAGTTTCACCGGCTGCCCCTGAGACACTGTCAGCTTCACGGGGGCTCCCATGAGCTTCAGGCCTGAGTGGTGGGAAGGAGAGTGTGTCAGTCTGCTTGAGGAGGACCCCATCTCTGGAAATATCCCCCATCGTCTTCCAAAACCCAGCTAATGGCCAAAGAAGCAGAGGCAGGACAGTGTAGGAGGGATGGTTGCCTGGATCTGGGGGAAGAGGCATGACATGATCTCCAGGCACCATTTCTGCCACAGCCAAGTTCCCCCAGCTCTAAGGAAGTGACCTCTTTCCATATCTCTGTTAGGCAATGTTCAGTTCCAGCACAATCACCAAAACGGAGGCAAGCCAGGCTGAAACCGTGGGCAGCCTCACACCTGGGGCAGGTACTGCCCTGGGAATGGCTGCTGCACCCAGTCAATGCAACAGGTGACCAGCTCTCTGCCCAAGGTGTCAGCCCAGTCCTGGCACTACTGCTGGCATCTCCCCCCTGCACCCCACCCCAGGGAAATGAAAGGAGGCTGAGGAAGGGAAGGAGGGGGTGCTCTTCTGAAGTGGAGAACATATGGCTGCAGAACCACGTCAGATCAAACACATGGCAGCCTTCCTGGCAGCCGCCTGCTCTATTAATACCTGAATGTGTGTAGGGGTGGGTGCTAGGAAGGTAGGAGGAAGAAGGCAGGGGAGGGGCCCTGAACAGGGAGCCCAAGACCCCTGAGAGACTGTCACCCCAACAGGAGTCACCCTCTGGAACCCTAACCTCTGTACACACACACCTCCTGGTTTCCTGGCATGTTTTGAAACAGAGAGGAGCAGGTGAACTATCTATATAGCTGAAATCCAGTCCTGCTTTTTCCTGCCCTTTCCTGTGTGACTCTAGGCAAATTCTTGGACTTTCTTATCCTGAAATACACATCTTTCAACTTGTCACTCTTTCCCTTCCCCTCCCTGAGAGGCTGATAGGGCAGGGAATGCTGCCTCAAGAGATGGAGCCAGTTCGGTGGCTGCTGCTCTGGCCTGTGTCTTCCCTACACCCTCTACCCTCTTAGGATCAGTAACAGGGCAAGGACGGGTAGCCTCACTCCCCATACATGCCCACCAGACCTAGGGGTATGTAGAGTGAACTTGGATATCCAGGGTGCTTCAAGGAACACTCCTGCCACTGGCAAATGCCTCCATGGCTTGGTGGGACCACAAGGCTAACCCCCCAAGACCAGAGGTCTTGCCCCAGCCCATCCCCTCCAACATTCCCGGCTTCAGGAAGCTCTGAGTGGGCACAGGAACTAGAGTACGCTGAGATGTTTTCTGTGACTGGGCACCCTCACAACCCCTGTACCTAATATGGTGTAGGGGTGTCTCTTGGGTGCTCAGTCCCTGTCCCTGCAGTTGCAGAGTGGACCTTACTGTATGGGGTACGCAGAATGGGATTCCCCACGGCTGGGAGGGCAGGGCAAACAACCAGAAACATAGAGGCGGGAAAATCCAGTCCCATCCTCCCTGCTGACCTCTCAGCCCATTGCCCTACTCAGTTCCCTTCCGCACAACCAGAAGAGCCCCAGACGCAAGAAAGTTGGGGGTGGGGACCCGACCCGAGATCCGGCAGCAAACACACCGCTGCGCCCTCTCCTCCAGCCGCAAGTCTCGGCCTTCCAGCTTTAGCCCCCCACCCAGGCCCGGGACTCGCTCGGCTGCCGTCCCTGGGCTTGGACCCCGGCCGCGCCCCTCCGCAGCCCCGCTTTCCGCCGCCTCCCGGGTCAGCCCCTACCTGCGGCCGCGGGCTCCGGGAGCAGCAGAGTGGCCAGACCCGCCAGCAGCGGCAGCGGCGGGAGCCCCGACCGCCCCATGCTCCGCCTCAGCGCCATCGGCGGCGACGCCGCACCATGCCGGGCCCGGCCCGCGAGCGACCGGCCAGGAGGGAGGAGAGGAGGGCGGCGGGAGGGGCGGGGGCCGGCCTGGGGGCGGCGCTGGGGCGGGCGCCTCCGAGGCCCGCGCCCGCTGCGAGTCGCGCCGGCCGCCGTCAGCAGCGCGGGGTCCCCGGGGCCGCTCCTGGGCCACGGCGCTCCTTCCACAGCCGTCGCCGCCGTCGCCGCCGCCGCTGATTCATGTTCTTCTCTCAGCCGCCGCCTCCTCCCTGGCCCGCCCGCAACCCGAGCTCGTACCGCCACCCCGCGGAGCCCCGCGCTGCTCGCTCGGAGTGCCAACCCCTCCCCTGCCGGCCCGGCCTGCGGCCTCCGGCCGACCCCCACCCACACACCTCCCCAGCGCTGGCCAGCAGCCCTGCCCCAGCTGCCCCAATGCCGAACCCTAGGGTCTGGCTGGGTCCGATGGATGGGCATCCCAGCCACGCCCCTCCCTTTCCAGCAGCTTTTCAATCCCAACACTCCAGATCCTTCCCTCAAAATCTCCTAGAAACCTTGGCCACATCCCAACTTTTGCCCAGGCTGTGATCCCAGAACCCATACCCCCCTCTCAGGATATAAAGCATGTCGACCCCCCCAGACACTTAAAACCACCAGGCCCCCAACTCAGGGCTCCCCCAGCTGGATCTATACTAGCACTCCTTCATGCCTCTTTCATAGCCTTTTCCCCAAATCCCCCATATTCGTGTTCTATTTCCCACCCTTTTATCTCCAAGTCCTTGGGCCTTGGTTCTTGCGTTTTCCAGGATTTTGGTGATACTCAGGTTTTATCTGATATTCCCACTGCTACATTACAAGCCAAAGCCTGATTTCTTTGGGGCTGTCATTCTTCCTAATTGCTTCCTCAGCTTTTGCCCCCCATCCCCTAGGACATGGTGTGAAAGCTGGCTGTGTCCTCAAATATCAATAAATCATTAGCTGGTATTAGCAGATAGTAGGCACTCTAGAAATAAATAGATGCCTATTATATTAGTGAATAATTGACTCAGCCCTTGACCTACCCCACCACCAGTATGGTGTGCCCACAGACATGCTGTCAGGTGGATGCAGAGCTGGTTCCCAGCCCAGCCTACCAGGTGCTCCCCTCACCTTGCCCTTGCCTCTGCTTGTCCCCTGGAGACATTCAGGGGACATTCAGTAGCCCTTTATCATGTCTGGAGCTAGGTTGGGCCCTGGCATCTCCCTACTCAGGTGTAATTATCTGCTCACCTCTGCCTTTGACAACCCAGAGGGCCCATCCCAGAAGACCAGGGTGGGGAAGAAAGACAAGCCACTGTGGCCCTGGTTTCTGGAAGCCTCCCTGGCTCTTTCCAGGGATTCTCCTCTGAGCTGCAGGGGTCTGCCTCTTCCCCCACTTGGCCCCATAAGTGCTTGTTCATTAATTACACTAATGATCACAACAGCAGTACAGGCGGCAGCCTCAGCCCCAGCTGGGGGCGCCCCCGGTGGCAGCACAGAGGGAGACTCTGGAAGCGCTGTCAGAGTTGGATGACAGTGGCCTGAAGTCACTGTTTAGCTGAGCGCTCTGCCAATTTTCTTGGGCACGGGGGTTCAACTCCAGGAGCCTTTTGTACAGGAAACAGCTTGCTTCATTCCATGATCCACATCTTCTGAGCTTGGGCTGAGTCAGACCAGGGCAGGCAGACAACAGTCAGAAGGTGAAGCCAGATTCTCCAGGGCCACAGCTACTGTAGCAAGGTGGCTTCAGCAGCCCTGTGCTTAGGCATTTGTCACTTCTCGAGGCCCTGTCCCCACCTCTCCTCTCTGGAGGGGACTTCCAAGTTTCTGGTGAAAGAAAGCCTCCTCTTGACTCTGGCTTATGTTGGAAAGATCCGTCCTAGATGTTGAACCCAGCACCCAAACCCAGCCTTCCACTTCCTTTTCTCCCTTCATTCTCTCCCCATCATTTCCTGAACTCTGTCAGGGAATCCCAGCCCAAGGACCCTCCTTTGCCATCAGTCAAAATGGTCTCCTTGGACATGTCGTGAATGCCAACACGTTTTCCACTCACAGCCTCCACAAACTTACTGCAGGCTTGGCGTGTGTTCCTATCACACTGGGGCAGCACACTTCCCAGGTGGGGCCGATAGCCCTGAGTTCCTGCTTCTGGTACCTCTGCTCCTGAATCCTCAATTCTTAGTATTTCTGCTTGCAGAGTAGGAGGGACTGCAGAGCTCTGGTCTTCTGACTTTCCAGCTCTTACATAGACTACGGACCTTCCTGAGCCTTCACAACCTACTCTTTTTATCTATCTCCCCAATCTTTTTCTTTCTGGACATGGTATAAGAGCATGCTTTCAGTGTATGTGAGCAGGTGTGATTTTATGGAAGAGGTGTGTGTAGGTGGGTGAGAAGGTGTACATTGTGATGTATGAGGGAGGGTGTGCATTTGTGCAAACTCTAAATGTGACTGACGCTTTGTGGGTGGATGGGGAGAAAGTGTGTGTGTGTGTGTGTGTGTGTGTCTATGTCTGTGTGTCTGTGTCTGGAGGAGGTTGGCTGCCTGTGCAAATACATGCCTGCAAATTATCCCTTCCTTTCATAAATGTATTGCTTGGAAGGAAACTAACCAAATCAACAGGAAATCTATTTGACCTAATGCAGGAGCAGCTGTCCCAGAAGTTCCTGTCCTCAGAACAGAACCAAAGCCAGCAGAGATCTATCCCAGGGGAGGAGGGTAGTGGAAGGGCCAGCAGTAGCCCTTTATTATGTCTGGAGCTAGGTTGGGCCCTGGCATCTCCCTACTCAGGTGTAATTATCTGCTCACTCTCTGCCTTTGACAACTCAGAAATGCCCAAGGAGGCCAAAGATACCAAGGTGAGCCATGGGGTCAAGGTAGTCTCACTGGCCCTGTGTCAAAGACATGTTCTTTCCCAGCTACTTGTTAAAGAAGTGAGAGTTGGGAAGTTCCACTTAAGGAATGGGGCAGGCTGCAGACTGTGTTCCTCATCACCTTAGAGAAGGCAGGGGACCTATGTCTTCGGGGCTTGGAGGAAAACTACCTCGGGGTGTGATGCCAGGGGCACTGGGACTGTCACTGCGCCTGCCATGCATCCTCTGCCTGGAATTCCCAAGCCAGAAACAATACCTGTCCTTGCCCAGTTGAAGATGACACAGAAAGGTAAATTCCTGCAATAGAACACACTTTGACTTAAAGGAGTCATAGGGAGTCTTTCAAATGATCAGATTTTCCCTGAAAAGCAGATTTAGGTAGTAAGAAGAAAGCAATAAGGTTGGAGTTTCTGAAATAGCTGATAGGCCCAAATGTTTGGAAGAAAAATATTTGTCCTTTTCAAAATTTCACCTAGGGATGGCCCTGAGAGGAAGACTTTCATATGTGAGTGTGCATGTATGGGTGTGAATGCCCTATATCTGACTGGCTGTATTTCTCTTTTTGACCCTTTTTAATTCCAGGCTGGTAAGTGAGGCTTTTCCGGTTCTATTTTTTTTTTCAAACTTTTTATTATGGAACATTTTAAACACACACACAAGTAGAGAAAATAGTATAATGAATCCCCAGTGTTACCTAACACTGCTTCAGTGATTATCTGACTAAGTTGTATTCTATTGTCCCATTTTTGTTTTTGTTTTGCTGGAGTTTTTAAAAGCAAATCTTAGCCATGTAATTAATTTTAGCTGTAACTATTACACTGTGTATCTATAACAAATTTTTAAAAACCCTCCTCTACATATAGATTTGGATGGTTACATATAGAAAGAAATATTTACAGACATGTGTATATGTGACAGTATATAAACACATTATTTCCATAGTCAGCAGAGAAGGGCCTAAAAGCAAGGCACCCAGTAGCAATGAACAGACCTAGCAACCAAATTTTGATTTCTAATACCATTTTCCAATAAAAGGAACCAAAGTTCCTTGGAGACATATCTGATTCTAGGATTGGGGCAGGAAATATACAAGATGGCCATCTTGTAGCACCAAAAGGTAATGAAATGCTCAAAAACAAAAACAGAAAACAAAATCCAAACACACACACACACACACGTAATGACAGGGTGTATCAAAGCCTCAAATATAAACATATATATATTTAAATAAACAAGCTAATGGGGAATAGACAAATCTCCCATGCAGAAGAAATGCACAAATGTGGAAGAAAAACACAAATCATTTTTGTAGTTAGCCCACACTCAAATGTGGGCTGCACATCATGCCTTCCTCTCCAAGAGGCCAGGATGCAAAGCACAGGGGAAAATGTAACTTTACAGTGAAAAGATCTGACAAACATTACCTCAGCCAGGTGATTAAGCTGCAAATTGGCAGTGATAAGTCCTGTTGATAGTAGGAACCCTCAATGTGATAAAAAATGGCATTTTAGCTCTGGTCTTCCTCCCCAAAACCCATAATCCTAGTCTAATCATGAGAAAAACATCAGACAGATTCCAATTTAGGGACATTCTTCAAAATGTTCTACTTTAAACTGTCTAAGTCATGAAAAATTTTTTTTAAAGTCTGTGCCACTGTCACAGCCAAGAGGAGCCTAAGGAGACATGACAACTAAGTGTAGTATGGTGTCCTGGATGGGCAGGTAGAGGACATTAGGGGAAATCTGAGGAAATCTGAATAAAGTATGGTCTTTATTTAGTAATAATGTGCCAATATTGGTTCATTGATTCTAACAAATGTACCACATTAATGTTAGATGTTAATACGGGGGAAACTAAGGGATAAATGGAAACTCTTTCTTTGCAATTTTTCTGCAAATTTAAAACTATTCCAAAATAAAGTTTGTATTTCAAGAAATAAATCCTTACCCATTAGTATTTAATAACTCTTAATATCATATAAAACCCCATTTGTGTTTAGTTTTCCCCAACAGTCTCAAAAACATCTTTTTACAGTATGTTTGTTTAAATCAGGATCCAAACAAGGACCACATATTTAATTGATAGTCTCTTGCGTATTTTCAAATTTATAGGAGGTCCCTCTTCTCTCCTGGACATGACATTTACAGAAGAAACTGGTGCATTTGTAAAATGTTCCATGATCTGGATTTGATTGTGTCCTTGTGTTATCATTTAACATACTACTCTACTGCCTACATTCCTTCTAGATTTGTAGTTGGATCTATGTTTCACTAGATTCAGTTTCAACTTTTGCCATGAAAGCTTCCTAGGAAGTGTTTTGTACTTTCAATTGCATCATGTCAGGAGGCACATTATGTCCAATGGTCCCACTTTTAGTGATGTTAAGATTCATCAGTTGGTTCTTAAGCTGGCAACCTGATCTCCATATAAAGTCTCACCGATCTTTTACATAGTAGTTTTATCAGCCCTTAATGATTTCACTAGTGGTTGCAAACAATGATTTTCTAATATCATTCTTCCTGTATTTTTGGCTTTAGCTTCTCTCCCTCATTCCCCATAGCTTCTGCCTAGGGCCCAATACTATTTTGGGCTCCAAGGTTGGCTAAATCCTAATAGCAGAAATTTACCGCTGCAATTGAGACCAAGAGAACTGAAGAAGGTTTCCATAGAACACCTGGAACCCTGTTAAAAATGCAAATTCCTGGGTCCTATTCAAGACCTACTGAAATCAGAAATTCTTGAGGGTGAGGCCCAGCCATCTGTTTTAACAAAATCAGGTGATTCTGATGTCTGCTGAAGTATAAGAACCAATGGACCTCAAGGGAGAACAGTGTATCACAGAGAAGGGACCTAGTTGATCTCTGGCAACTTGCTGCACTGATGGACAGTGACTGCATTGGGGTATGGGTGGGGACTTGATAATATGGGTAAATGTAGTAACCACATTGTTTTTTCATGTGAAATCTTCATAAGAGTGTTTATCAATCATACCTTAAAACTCATTGTCTATTCAAAGACCCAGGACATATGCTTGTGAAAAGGTGTCCAGTGATAGCTGATTGTCTGGCAGTGCATTCCCATCATACCATACAAGTGGTTTAGGTGGAAAATTCCAAGTTCAGTCAGTGGGCCCTGTTGGCAAAGGTTTTACACTTGACTCCAGCAAGGCCTTGAAGGAAGAGAAAGACTTTGGGAGTGGGGAGGAGTGGGGAAAGAGGGAAGATTTCCAAGAAGGGACACTGGCATGAACAATAATAGCAGGATGTTCACTCACTGAGGGGATCACCTTGCAGGCAATGAGGCTGTTTTCTTCTCTCTTCTTACCACTACCATTCCTGCATCGCCTTTCCTCTGTCCTGGTTACCTTCTTGGTCGCCCGTAAGCACACTGCAGGGGTCACACTTGGTGCATGTGCTGGTTTCTGTGTGCTGCCCATGAGCCTGGGTGCTGGGGTGTAAGATCTGGTTACACGGGTTGGCGAGTGCAGAGGGGCATCTGAAGAACGCTTTACCTCTGTCACCGGTGTTGTGTGTGAAGAAGAGCCTGTGCCTGCTGTACATCCGAAGGATGACTGTTCTGAGCGTCGGCATAGAGTTTCGGTGGTGGGGTAGGCCACGGCAAGTCAGGTATCTTCGATTGCTCGCGTCGCAAACGCCAAACGACCGAACCCCAGTCTGGGCGGGGCCAGGCCCGGAAGAGGCGGGTCCAGGCTGCGTGGCGGAAACTCAGATCTGCCGGCGGAAGCGCAGCCCCTGTGGGACAAGATGGCGGCGTCCCGGTAGTCGTAGGGAAGGCGGGCGTGCTCGGCTGGCGGGAAGGCCTTGGGGAGACCCCGCCGAAGGCTCCGGCGCAGGGTGTCAAGTTCCTTTGTCAGAATCTACCCGAATGTCTTTGGTCTACACAGGAGCAGCCGCAGCCTCTTCGGTGCGTAGATTCCGGGCACGGCCCTCCATCCGCGGGTAGCATAGGCTGAGACTCCGTGATTTCTCTTTGCTGACGCGGGTGGTCCAGAAGCGCCCGCGACCGCAGAGCCTTAGGGGCAAGTTGTGGGGCCCGTCGGTGTACAAGTCTCGTATTTCTTTGGTGAAATATCTTCCTTAGTATTTTATTGTTTTTGATGCTTTTGTAAGTGGAACTGGTTTATTTCATTTTCTGATTGTTCTTTGCTAATATATAGAAATACAAATGATTTTTATATATTTGTCTTTTATAGCCAAAGGTTTTTTAATAATTTGAATGCCTTCAGGCCAGGCATGTTCTCTCGTTTAATACAGAATCACTACTCCCTGATAGGATACATTTATCTGCCTGATTCCTGATGGCATTTTCCTTGGGTCCACTGTGGTTGTTCTTTAAGTTTTGTTTTTTTTTACATTAGCTGAGTTCAAGTTTAGTCCCCAAAGAATATTTAGTTTCCTTATTGTTATATAGGCATATCGCGTTTTATTGTGCTTCACTTTTTTGGGTTTCAAAGACACTGTTTTTTACAAATTGAAGGCTTGTGGCAACCCTGCATCAAACAAGTCTATCAGTGCCTTTTTCCAACAGCATTTAGCATTTATTCACTTTATGTCTCTATGTTATGTTTTGGTAACTTCTGCAGCATTTTAAATTTTTTCAATTATATTTGTTACAATGCTCTGTGATGAGTTTTACCACTTACTGAAAGCTCAGATGATGGTTACATTGGAAATCAAGTATTTTAATTAAGGTATATCAATTTTTTTAGACAAAATGCTATTGCACACTTGATAAAGTACAGTGGAAACAAAATTTTTTAATGCACTGGGGAACCAAAAAGTTCATTTGATTCACTCTATTGCTATATTCACTTTATTGCCATGATCTGGAAACAAACCCGCAATATCTCTGTGGTATGCCTATACTATTGTATGAAATTGATTAACTTCAATCTAAGCTACTTGATAATCATTATTTCCTTTTGATGTTTATTTCAAACTATAAAGTTTATGTACAAGACTATAAATTGATGTAAGTATCCTCTATTTCAGGTCCATACCTAATTATTTATAAACATTAATGGAAACAATAGTGTCCCAATCAGGCACAACAATTTTCTTCTTTGTATAAACTAGCAACTTCCTACCCAACTCAACAACTAATGACATTTCAAATTATGGATTTGAAAAAATGCACTACAGGCACATTTTTAAAAACAAATACAATATAAAATCTTGCTTTTTTCTAGGTCTGTGAAATTGTTTTTGTTTGCTCCTATGACTTTTTGGTTTACCTCCTTCTTCTGGGCAAGTTTTAGTATGTAACTCTCATACTTTAAAAGAGATAGTCAAAACCCACAGACTTAAATTGTAAGAAAACTTAACTTGGTAATGTCAGCTGAAGACACCGTAATTAGCACCATAAGAACAATTGTACTAAATTTTAACACTGTTCATAACAGTTCCATTTTCCTGAGTTTGCGTTTGTTCTTTGGCATGGGCTTAGCATATAATCCATTTTTCAGAAGGTGTTCCTTGCTGAGGGAATTTGACCACCATGCTGAAGCTGGAAAGAGCATAAAGCTTGAAGAGGGCGAAGCAAAATCTCTTGTATGTGATTATTCTTCTCCAGGATGGAAAGAATAACAGCTGCACACTCCAGTGTAGAAAGGCACCTGTTAGTTGGTTGTGTCCGAATTACATATTGATTAGAAATGCTAGTTTTTAACTGCACAAACTGCAGTCTGGAGTCATTTCTCTCATTCCTGCTCCAGCAGAAGACCTTCTTGAGAGTTTTTATCATCCACAAATTGTAAGCAACCTAGGTTAAGAAGTAAATATTGCTAGGCTGATAATATTAGGGAGGGTTAAATAGGGAATTTCAATAAGGTATGAGTGAACAAGAATGAGTTGATGTGTACCTAAGAAAAAAAGTCTTCTCTGATGTACAATAAAGAGAAGCATGATTCAGTTGTAGAGAACCTGTCATCTTTATTGCTTTCAGGGGTGAGTGGGAGGGAATTCCCACATCAAAGCCGTGCTGGAAAGAGTTGCACTGGAGAGGCAGCTGGAGGGTCAAGATGCTTTCGAGACCACAGCCAGGGGAGTCCGAGGTTGACCTGCTACGTTTCCAGAGTCAGTTTCTCGCAGCTGGTGCAGCCCCAGCAGTGCAGTTGGTGAAGAAAGGAAGTAGGAGAAGTGGTGATGCTAACCTGGACCGGCCCCCACAGCAGGATCACCGGGATGTGGTGATGTTGGACAGTGAGTGGCTTTGGATGTGAGGCAGATGAGCAGAGAGTACAGCCTCAGGGTCCCCTCTCTCTTCCTGATGTGGCTGGATTCTGCCCCATCATTATTTCAGACACTGCACAGCCTCTGTTGCTGCAGTACCATTTTGCGTATGAAGACAGTGAGGCCCAAAAGAGGTTGGCAAGGGGACACTGCTTGAGCCAGGGACCCACAACAGCTGTCTGTCTTTGGCTTCCCCCAGCCTTCTCTCTGTTCTGGAAAGGTACAAGTATTCTCACAAATGGGTTTTTTCTTTCTCAGATTTCCCAGATTTGCCCCCAGCTTTGGTTCCTGCTCCCCAGAAGAGAGCCAGGCCCAGCCCTGGCTGTCTCCTTCCTCAACATGAGGACCCTGAAGAGAGGCTGAACAGGCATGATCAGCACATCACTGCTGTCTTGACTAAGATTATTGTGCGTCTCAGCTGGCTGAGTGAGATGAGGCCTCCTAGGGTAGCAAGGATATTGGGTGGGGATGGTGAGCCTTATGAGTGGAGGGTGATTAAGGAAGGGACTTCATCCCCCTGCAGTCAGGTTGGGGGCTGGTTTAGTATCACTGAGCCCTAGGAAGCATGGTTGGTTCATGACTCCCTAGGATGCGACTCTCGTCATACAGAACTAGGGCTGGTGGGGTAGGGTCCAGCGTGAGGAAGTCTCAGTATCTTCACTGCTTTGTGCTTTGTGCTTTGTTGCTACAGGAACGAGATACAGGTTCAGTGTCTGTGAATCTGCCTGTGCCCAGTGGTGTTGCTTTCCCTCCTGTATTCCATCGTTCACGGGAGAGACAGGTAGGCAGGGGTAAACTTGGATGGCACTTAGGAGACAGACAAGTGAGCCCCATAGTACATCTTCCCCAGGTGGTAATCTTAATAAATGTCAACCAATGCCATTGTTAAAGCAGCAGCACCTAATAACTTAATCCTTATTACAACTGTGTAAGGTAAGGAAACTGAGACCCTGAAATGATAAGTAGTTTGTCCAACACCACACATCTAATAGATAGAAGAGCTGGAAAGCCAACGCAAGTCCATCAGAATTCATACCTGTGTTCTTACAGAACCCTTCTTTTTCTGAGGGGTCGTGACCTTTGGAGATTAAACAAGTCCCTTTTATTTCTTTGTTCCAGTAACCTTCATATAAAGAAATTGAAAAGGGAATGGGTTAATGAGCATCAGTCACCTGGGTTGTTGTTTTTTTTTGCCCCATAGGGGAACACAGCAACGTCTGATAAGAGAAGCATCTTTGCCCAGGAAATTGCAGCAAGTAGGCTGTGTGAAGCCAGGGTTCCACCACTTAGAGAAGTTGTATCTGCTCTGGACCCACCAGAGGGTGAGCTGGGGTTGAAGAGGCTTAGGCTTGGCCTTTTTGTAATACATGATCATAGAGTCATATACATAGTTGGGTATATGTATTTCTGTCTCAAATATAAAGTGCATTTGAGCTATCTAAAGAGGAAACTGTTGCATATCCCTACTTAAGAGTATTTCTGAGTGTGGGTGGCTTGGGTCCACGTCTTAGCTGCAGGGAGAAGGTAGGTCATCACTTACCCTTAGGAGAAGGGTAGGAGAGAGAAGTGTCTGACAGAGACTATAAAATAAAGAGATAGGTCAAGATTCCTTTAATGATGCAAATTACTAGTAGAAAAGCTGGGCAAGCCCCTGAAGGAAGAAGATAGCTGTATAGCCAACAGAAGAGTCATAAAGGATGTTTCTAAGGGGAACCTTCTCTCATAAATCCGAGGGGAAGAATGAATGCAAAGGTCAGCACCCCAAACTAATCTCTTAGGGAGTCTCTACTCTGTGTCTGGAAAAGCTCTGGGACCTCTGTCTCCATGGCTCATGGGCTTAGGAAAGAGGGCCAGAAGATCCAGCTGGGGTGAGGCAATGAAACTGATCGTACACTTCTTCTAGGTGCTGTGACCCGGGAGGCACTTGTGCCTAAAGAGCAGGGCTCTCAGCTTCCGCAGAGTAGCCACAGCTTCCAGGGACCCCATCTGGTCACAGGGAAAGGGCTCAGGGGCCAGGAGGCCGAGCAAGAAGCCCAGACCATCCATGAAGAGAATATAGCAAGACTGCAAGCCCTGGCTCCTGAGGACATCTTGCAGGAACAGCAGCGCCTTCTGGCTCAGCTTGGTACGGGGTGTCTGGCTTTCCTGCCAAGACCAGGCTAGGAAGGCACTGCCACTTTTTGAGGAAGGCTTACTGTGAGTGCCAGGCCTTGTGCTGAGTACTTTAATGAATTATTTCATTCTGTCCTTAAACTGTTTCTGTGAAGTAAGTGGTACTAACCATTTACTTATGGAAAAAAACTGAGGCTCAAAACTTTAAGAAATTCTCCCCCAGGTCACACAACTGACAAGGAACATGAATGAGATGTAAATCCAGGTCTGTCTGGTTTCACAGGCCCTGCTCTTAACCATTGTACTCTGTATGTTAGACTATTCTCATATAATATACACTGTATTAGTACAGCTACAGTATACTCTATAGCATGCTGTACTCTTATTACACCTCCCTCCTAGTTTCTGTTCCCTAAAACAGTAGCACCAAGTCAGTCTTGTTCCAAACTGTATATCTAACACCTATATAGAGCATAGCATATGTTAGGTTTTTAATGAATACTTGTGCATAAGTAAATTAACTGAAAGTAAGAGAAATTGTTCACCTAAATGCCCTTTCTTTGGGCCAAGTCAACATTCATTCACTTATTCCACAGCCACTTTGGGCCTGGAGCCAAGTATATGAACTGGCATAAACCTGGGTCAGGGGACTGTGAAGGGTAGAGAGAAGGGTAGGCAGACAAGTCCCAGTGACAGGTATGGGTTATGGAGGTCCTCAGAGAACTCAAGGGGATCAGGCCAGGGCTGGGAAGTGGCTTGTCTTGGCCTTGGCTCCCATAGGCAGGCAGTATTCAGCAGATTTCAAGTCTGTGGAAGGCTGGGAGGATCTGACCCCACCAACTCCCCCGTCTGCCCTCTTCTCTAGATCCCAGCTTGGTCGCCTTCTTGAGATCTTCCAATCGCATGCACAAGCAAGCAGGAGAGAAGGCCGTGGAGGAGCAGTGGCCACAAGAACCCTCTGTCAAGGTCACTGGGAAGGAACCCATTGTGCCAACTTCACCCAGTGAACCTAGGCAGGAAGGTGAGCTGGAGCCAGGAGCCCCAGGTTCGAAGGAGGTGGGGACATGTTTTGAGGAGTAAAAGTTTGAAGAAAATATCCCTTCTCATGAAAGATGGGAAAGAGAGAATCTTCTCTGTCCTTGAACATCTAACATTAATCCTCATTATTGCTTGGAAATTAGTCTTCATTTGCTGACGTGTATAGTCTTCCTGCACATGCTTCCTGTTTTCTTTTCCTGTTTCTGCTGCTCCTCCCCCTTCCCCGGTAAGAGGCAGTAGGGTGGGATGCTGAATGGCCCCCTCCCCCTGCAGACCATCTCCCCACTGCCTTTGCAGTAGCTGCCTCTGCTCTGATTCCGTCCATCCCACAATTTTGTGCCTGTGCTGTTACTGTGGGGCAGAAGACAACAGGGCCAGGGCAGTGACAGAAGAGTATGACGCAGGTCTTCAAAACATGCCAGACCTGCAACAGAGAGGCCAGTGGGAGCACTCATTTCCCAGGACCTGGATTATTTTATTAGTGATTAATAAAAGAAGAAATCAAATTATGAGAGCCAGGAACCTCCTGCCCCTGGAGGAGCTCCAGGCCAGCTGGGCAGGTTGGGGGTTGGGGCAAGGCAGGAAGAGGACAATAAGGGTGTGTGTCTGTTTTCTTGCTCTGCTGAAGTAGTACAGTGTGTCCCTTCACTGGCCCCACTCCCCTGCTCCTTTAGAAGGTTGGTACCAGGCAGTGGAGAAGTATGTTTTCCCCGATACACATGGTCCTCCCTCCTCTGCACCCTTCATCTTCTCTTCCTTACCTCCTCCTTTTCCTCTTTCCTCTTCCAACAAATCTTTGGGATCAGCAGTGGTCTAGAGCCCAGGACTGGGTATTCTGCCATATCTGAGACCTTTGCCCAGTTTCCAGGAGTTCCAACCCCAAGGCCATGCCATTTAGCCATAGCTGAAGGCCAAGGCTGCCCAGTCCTTAGGCAAAGGTGGCTGGGACCCCGGTGGATCAGTGAGCTGAGCCCCTCAGGGGATACTACTCTGCTTCCTTCTTCCCAGCTGTGGCGCTGCCTGTGACCCCCAACAGAGAATGGCTGCATATGGACACTGTTGAGCTGGAGAAGCTCCACTGGACTCAAGACCTACCCCCACTCCGGCAGCAACAGACACAGGAGGTGAGGAGAGCCAGCTGGCCTATAAGGAGCAGAGCAGGGCAGGAGTAGGGCTATGGCTCTTGCGCCCAGAACTCAGGCATTTTTCTTTCCCTGAGCTAGAGAAACATCTTTCCTCTCCCATCACCCTGCCTGGACCCTAAGGCCAGAGGAGCCCCCTTTCCAGTTAGAGGTAGTCGGGACATAAGTCCCGAGAGGCCTGGGGTTTGAGCTGAGGCATGCATGTGGAGAAGTTACTGCTGCTCCCATATTCCTCTTTCTCTTCCCATTAGAGGATGCAGGCCCGATTCAGTCTTCAGGGAGAGCTCCTAGACCCCGATGTGGACCTACCTACCCATCTGGGCCTGCACCACCATGGAGAGGAGGCAGAGGTGAGATATGGGGCTCTGGGAGGACTGGGCAGCTCTTGAAAGTGCTTCTAACAACCTTGTAGAAAAGAACTTCTGGTCAGTTGCCTTGGATGTCCTTTGTACCCCATCCCAGTTCATGGCCTTTCTGCCAATTCAGGTTCTCAGGCTCAAAGTCTTTCTCTTCGTTGCCTCTCATTCCTGGCAGTTGCCAGAACTTGCTGGTTATGTCTCCTCCCCTTGTGAGATGAGAGCCTTGCTCCTCCTTGTCTGCTCAATTGCCACATGTGCCACTCTCCCCACCACACCATTCCATCCCTCACAGAGCTGCCATACTGATGCCCTCTGGCCCAACTCAGACCAAACTTTGCCTCGAAAAGTTTCCTGGCCCCCCTCTGCTCACAGAATAAGGTCTTGGCTCCTTAGCCGGGCAAGATAGTCCCTCCACAGCCTTTCCCTACTGGCGCTTCAGCTCTGCCTCCCTCACTCCTGCTGCTCTAGTCTGCTGCCCACATGCGCTCTGTGCTCAAGCACCTCCTGGGCTCAGTTCCTGAAGCCCACTCTGGGGACTACCTTTACCCTTTGTTCCTTGTCAGGCCATGGAAGCTCTCCCCATTCACTGAGACCACATCACTTTTCCAGATGCCCCTTCTCTGTCCCCTGTTCTCTGGTTGCAAATTAAACAGCAATTACCACATTCTTCCCAACCTTACACCATGGTTACTTGTGTGCAAATCTTACCTTCTTTGCCAATTTGAGGATCCATGGAAAGCAGGGGATACCTACTTTCTTTATCTTCCCCACGCCATGCCTGGGAAATAGAGGGTTGCTGTGTATTTGTTGGGGTTGCTGCCCTTGGGGTCTTAGCTCCTTCTGATTTCTTTTCCCTTCCCCAGAGAGCAGGATACTCCCTGCAGGAGCTGTTCCACCTGACACGCAGCCAGGTGTCCCAACAGAGAGTGCTGGCACTGCATGTGTTGGCCCAGGTTGTCGGCAGGGTGAGTGGTCTGCTGGCCTGGTCCTGCCTGTCCCCACCCCACCCCCCAACCTTAGACTTTCCCACCTCCCACCTCTTTCTCTCTGGCCCACTAGCCCATACACCAGCTGTCTGTGAGTCAGACTGGGAACAGGACAAATACAGGGTCATAGATGGGCAAGGGAAGGTTTAAGACAGAGACTCTGTAAGTCCAGCATCTTCAGCAAGGTTTTATCCTCCTGCTTCCAAGGCCCAGGCTGGTGAGTTTGGGGACCGGCTAGCAGGCAGTGTCTTGCGTCTCCTTTTGGATGCCGGTTTCCTCTTCCTGCTGCGCTTTTCCCTGGATGACAAAGTGAATGGGGTCATCGCAGCTGCCATCCAGGCTCTCCGGTCTCTGCTGGTGGCTCCTAGAGATGAGGTACAACAGGAATAGCAATGGGCTTCAAGGTGTCAGGGTCCCACAGCTCCTGCTGGGCATGCCGTCATTGTGAAGGCGTTGCCAGGCCAAGCAAAGGATGGGCTGGTGGCATCACCCTCTTCTAAAGTTCCCAAAGCACAGGAGCCTTGCCTTTCTGTTTTTTGTGGGTGGTTTCTGCTCTCTACTCCTGGACCCATTTTCTGGCCTGACCACTTCTTCCCTGATTCTCTTCTCTCTGGCAGGAGGTCCTCGATAGCACTTTCTCCTGGTACTGTGGAGCTTTGGTGTACCCTCTGATGCCCAGCCAGGAGGACAGAGAGGATGAGGATGAGGAATCCCCAGGAGAAAAGGCAAAAAGGAAGAGCTCTGAGGAAGAAGACCAGCCTCCATCTGACCTGGCCCGACATGATGTCATCAAGGTAAAGATGCCAGGACAGCTGCACCTGTCCATGACCTTGAGGGCAAGCACATGTTGAATAAGGGATCATCAAAGCCTAGGGCCCAGGTGCATTTGGCTGAGGATTTATCTCTGATCCCCAGGGGCTTCTGGCCACTAACCTGCTGCCTCGGCTGCGCTATGTGCTGGAGGTGACCTGCCCGGGACCTTCTGTGGTCCTTGACATCCTGGCTGTGCTTGTCCGCGTGGCCCGGCATTCCCTGGAGTCGGCTACAAGGGTGAGAAAGAGAAGATGGGAAACAGGCAAAGAGCCAGACTGGGCCTGGTCTTGACTCCAGCCAGCCTCCTACCTCCCTTCTCCTTCTGTCCCTCACAGGTCCTAGAGTGCCCTCGGCTGATAGATACTGTGGTTCGAGAATTCCTCCCGACCAGCTGGTCCCCCATGGGGGTGGAGCCTACCCACAGTCTACACAAAGTGCCCTGTGCTACTGCCATGAAACTACTTCGTGTCCTGGCCTCGGCTGGTAGGAATATTGCTGCCCGGCTGGTGAGCAGGATGCAGGGCAAGGGGCGGGGCCTCAGACAGTACTGGGTTGGGGACTAGTTCTCTGGACTCCGGGTGGCCTGCTCATGCCATCTTCCTCTTGGTCTCTGATCGAATTTGTTGGAAATGCAACAGAGATCACCAGGCTGGAACCTAATCACCTGGAGCCTATTGCTTTCTTTAGGCTTGCTCTGCTCTTACTATATGAAGGGAGGGCTCCCTGCTCCCTGAACCCAGACCAGAAGTGCCATATCCAGATGGGCACTCATCACCCTTAGCCAAGTAGCCCAGGAAAGGTGCCCAGCAAGGGCTTGCTGAAAAGGAGGGGAGTAGGGAAGGAGATGGGAGGGAGGGGTGGTTGAGGTGGTTTCAGCCTGCCCCAGAGTCATGACCTTGTGGCACCAGAGGGGCCTGGGACAGGGCTGAGTTGAGCCAGTCTCCATAGTGAGAGAACCTGAGTCTACTTGGGACTCCCAGATGACCCTGATCCCCACTCTGCCCTCCCTCAGTTGAGCAGCTTTGATCTCGGGAGCCGCCTGTGCCGCTTTATTGCTGAGGCCCCCCAGGAACTGGCCTTACCCCCAGAGGAAGCTGAGACCCTGAGCACGGAGGCCTTACGTCTGTGGGTTGTGGCCGCCTCCTATGGTCAGGGCGGTGACCTTTACAGGTGAGGAGAAACAGTGTAGGCTCCCTTGTAGCCCCCTCCAGTTTGGCACTCTGGCCTAAGCTGATGACAGCCTTGATCAAAGTTTCAAGCTTGGAGGGAAGCTGATAATGAGGAAGAGGGGATTTGGGGAGGAATGAAGAAGGCTTGGAGGTCAGACCACCCAGGGGAGAGTAGAACAAAACTGGGTGAACTGCATTCTGTACACAAAGCACTGGTATCTTGGTGAAATCAGGTTTAAATTCCCTGTTTGGCAGAAGCCTTGAGGGCTGCCTCCTTCTCTTCATTCCCAGCCTGCCTTCCCCCTTGAAACCCTCCAAGAGTACCAAGCCCTGGCGCCTCCCCTCCTGATCCCCTTAATCAGACTACAGATCTCTGGGGCAGGCATTATATCTCCATATCCCTTTGTACACTGTCCTCCCTCAGGGAGCTGTACCCAGTGCTGATGCGTGCCCTGCAGGCTGTGCCCAGGGAGCTCAGCACCCACCCACCTCAGACCCTGGCCGTACAGCGGATAGCCTCGTTGCTCACTCTCCTCACCCATCTGACCCTGGCAGCTGGCAGCACCACCCCTGAACCTGGCAGGTACATTGTAGCCTGCACTGCGGCAGGGACATTCTTCCCTGAGCTCTGGGACAAGTGGTAATGCTCCTCCACAGAGAGAGGGTGGCCAGAGCGTACGGGGGATCGGGGCAGCCAGATCCTTACTGTGACCCCTCTGGCACTCCTGTAGTGATTCTGCTGAAGCCAGTCTGTCGGCCACCCCTCCCTTGATCACTTGGACACAGGTGTCTGGGCTCCAGCCTCTCGTGGAGCCATGTCTAAGACAGACCTTGAAGTCACTGCCCAGACCTGAGACGTGGAATGCTCTGGGCCCAGTGCCTACTGCCTGCCTTCTCTTCCTGGACGCCTACTACCAGGCTTGGAGCCAGCAGGTGAGTGTTGCCTGCCTGCTTGCCACCAGGCCCTGCCTCCCGCATAACACTGCACCCCTTTTCTCCCTCTCTGTCTCTACCTCTCCACTCCTGCCTCCCCATTCTCACCATTTCCTCCTTTCCACCTTTTCTCTCTTACTTTTCTTCCTCTGTCCACCTCCATATCCACTGGAGCTGCCAAAGAGCCGTGCTGGGGGCATCAGAGAACCCCAAGCAGTGGCCCAGCTGCCCTGCCCCTTTATGCCCTCAGGACCTGTGGGGTCTTCTCTCCCTCCAGAAGGGTCAAAAGGCAGAAGCCCTGAAACGCTGCCTCCTTCTGGGCTCTCAGAATCATGGGCCTGGCCTGGGTACACAGGCCCTGGGAGAATGGGTGTCCTCATGTCTGCTCAGTGAGCCTTGCTCCTCTAGCCAAGCTCGTGCCCAGGGGATTGGCTTCAGGACATAGAGCGTCTGTCGGAGGACCTGCTGCTGCCCCTGCTGGGCCAGCCCACTCTGGGCAGCCTGTGGGATTCCCTTGGGTATGTACTGTGTGTGCAGTTGGGGTGGGGAGGAAGGAGGAGGAGCTTCTCTCTTTGTGGGTTCCCTGGGTCTAGCTCCCTCGTCCAGCCCAAGTGGAACCCCTCAGCCCAGGGGAAACCTGAATCCCTAGCAGGCAGCAGTTGGGGGCTCCAAGGCTGGCCTTGGTCGTAGACCAAGCAGCTCTTTTGCAGCCTTACATACATCAGGCCAAAACTCCCCTCAGCTTCTTCATTCTGCCTCCAGGCGCTGCTCTCTGCTCTGTAACCCAGAGTCCTGTGCTCCAGTCCCTGAAGCTGTGCCCAGCCTTGTGTCACTGGGCTGCACAGGAGGACATCACCCTTTCAGTTTAGCTGGCTCAGCCTCACCCTTCCCGTTCCTCACTGCCCTCCTCTCTCTTTTCAACACCCTGGCCCAGATCCACAAGGGTCTATGTGACCAGGTGAGTCCTAAGTGCCTGGTTAAGGGCCAGGCAGGGGGCCAAAATAGCAGGGGTCAGAAAGAAGTGGGGGTACCCCTTGGGAAGGGAGGTCTCCTCTGCCTGCATGTATTTCTGTGAGTTTTGGGAGTGGGCAGCCACCTGGGGGACTCCAGAAGAGATCAAATCACCTTCCAGATTGGAACAAGCTTGCTTTTCCTCAGCTGGCTGTCATATTGGCTGCCCCAGGACTCCAGAACTACTTCCTCCAATGTGTGGCTCCCGTGGCTACCCCACAACTCACGCCCTTTTCTGCATGGGCCCTGCGCCATGAGTACCACCTGCAGTACCTGGCACTCACCCTGGCCCAGAGAGCGGTGGGTGTCCCCAAACCCCCCATACCTGTATCCACCTGTACCCCCATCCCCATTCTGCTTCTCTGGAACTTGTGCTGCTTCTGGCAGGCCATGCAGTTCCTATTTTCCTCCAGACATGCCCAGGATCTTTGCCCTGCAGCACATATCCTCTTTGCTTATATCCTCTTCCTCACTTCTCTTTGCTTTGTCCCCTCTCACTCCCTCTGCCTCCCCCCACTCCACCCCTGCTTTTCTGTCCACAGGCAACATTCCAGCCAGTACCAGCCACCAGAGCTGCCCTCCATCATGGCATGGCCTTGGCCCTGCTGAGCCGGCTGCTGCCTGGAAGTGATCACCTCGCCCATGAGCTGCTGCGGAGCTGTATATTCCGGCTGGAGTTCCTCCCGTAAGGCTGGGCATGGTGGTAGCGACTCAGCCCTTTGACAGGCTTCTGTGGTTATTGACAGAGCAGCCCTGAATTTGGAGCCAGGAGAACCTAGGTTTAATTCTTTCTTCCATGGATTATGCTTAGCTCTCTGAGCTTCCACTTCCTAATCAGTAAGGCACACTGATTAAAGTACCCACACTAAGAGAACTGTGAGACTTCAGTGTGACTGTATGGCTCAAAAGTGGTATGTAAACTAGCTGTACAACATGTAATAGTTATTTGGTTGGTTACTAAGCACTAACTCTGTATCTCGTATTCCCTTAAAAATCTGTATTTTAAGTATTTTACCAGTACCATGAGATGGGTATTATTGTTATCCCCATTTTACTATGAAGAAACTAAAGCACAGAGAAATTCTGGAAACCTGCACCTGGGCAGCTCTCTAGTGTCCATCCTCTTAACTGCTACACACACTACGTGGAAGATTATTACGGGAATAAGGGAGGCACAGGATTGGACTTAGGAACTTCTGGGAAGCCCTGGAGAGCTGCATGGCCCTCTGGGTGTGTGGTTCCAGCCCTCATTTTTTACTTTTGGGCCGTGTTACAGGGAAGGAGCATCAGGGGGTCCAGAAGCAGCTGACTTCTCTGACCGGCTCTCCTTGGGGAGTGGCAGGGATCTTGGGTATGGGCGAGGAGCCCTACTGGCTCAGGCCTGCCAGGACCTCCCCAGCATCCGCGGCTGCTACCTGACCCACTGCTCACTAAACCGAGCCAGCCTGCTAGCCTCTCAGGCCTTGCCTAGAGGGCAGCTGCAGAGAGTCCCAGCCCTGCTGCTCCCTGTTCCCAAGGAACCGCTGCTGCCCACCGACTGGCCTTTCCTGCCTTTGGTTCACCTCTACCACCAGGCCTCAGACACCCCCTCGGGGCTCCCTCCTGCTGATGCCGTGGGCACAGCCATGCGGGCCCTGCAGTGGGTGCTACTCCTGGAGAGCTGGCGCCCCCAGGCCCTCTGGGCTGTGCCTCCTGCTGCCCGCCTGGCATGGCTCATGTGTGTGTTCCTGGTGGACGGTGAACTGTTCCGGGAGACCCCAATACAACATCTGGTGGCAGCCCTCCTGGCTCGGCTCTGCCAGCCTGAAGTCCTGCCAAACCTCAACCTGGATTGCCCACTTCCTGGCCTGACATCTTTTCCTGACCTCTATGCCAACTTCCTCGAGCATTTCGAGGCTGTCTCTTTTGGAGACCACCTCTTTGGAGCTCTGGTTCTCCTTCCCCTGCAGCGTCGCTTCAGTGTCACTCTGCGCCTCGCCCTCTTTGGGGAGCACGTGGGAGCCTTGCGAGCTCTGGGCCTGCCTCTACCCCAGGTACTTTTTCCACTCACGGAGCCTACCAAGGGCATCCTATTCGGGCCCCAGGGGCAATTCTAAGCACTGGGGAGTTTTGGTGGGCCTCAGGTTCCTTACTTTATTTCTGGGGGCACTTTGAGGAGATTAAGAGAATCCGTGGAAAGGGTTTAACATGGTGTCTGGCATTATATTAGGTATTTGTTCTTATTAACAAGGCATGGCTCCTAAATTATTCAGATTCTAGGTGTTAAGTCAGGATTCAAAGAAGGGAAAAATCAAAGGGGATTTCCCATAAGGAGAATATTTTGAGGAAGAAGCAGGGAGACCTGAGCACTTAAGATTGGGTAGAATTTGGATTGTTGAAAAGGAAGGACAGAATGTACCTAGTGGAACAGCAGAAGCAGAAGCTCACAGGTAGTGAGGAATATGGTAGAGTAGGTTGGTGGGAGGAGGGAGGAATCTAGAACAGATTTCAGTTTGGGAAATTGTTGAAGACAAGGCCAGTTAAGTCTTAGAGGGCCTCAGATTTTAGGCTAAGGAGTTAAATTTTTTTTTTATTATTAAGATGTCATTGATATACACTCTTACAAAGGTTTCACATGAAAAACAATGTGGTTACTACATTCACCCATATCTTCAAGTCCCCCCCAAACTCCATTAAAGTCACTGTCCATCAGTGTAGTAACATGCCACAGAGTCATTACTTGTCTTCTCTGTGCTACACTGTCTTCCCTGTGATCCCACACACTATGTGTACTAATCATAATACCCCTCAATCCCCTTCTCCCTCCCTCCCCACCCCTCCCTTTGGTAGTCCCTTCTTGGAGTCTGTGAGTCTGCTGCTGTTTTGTTACTTCAGTTTTGCTTCATCATTATACTCCACAGATGAGTGAAATCATTTGGTACTTGTCTTTTTCCTCCTGGCTTATTTCATAGAGCATAATACCCTCTAGCTTAAGGAGTTAAATTTTTTTTTTTATCATTAATCTACAATTACATGAAGAACATTATGTTTACTAGGGTCCCACCTTCACAAGTTCCCCCCATAAACCCCATTACAGTCACTGCCCATCAGTGTAGTAAGATGTTGTAGAATCACTACTTGTCTTCTCTGTGTTGCACAGCCCTCCCCGTGCCCCCCTCCACATTATACATACTAACCTTAATGCCCCCTTTCTTTTTCCCCACCCTTACCCCTCTCTTCCCTCCCATCCTCCCCAGTCCCTTTCCCTTTGGTAACTGTTAGCCCATTCTTGGGTTCTGTGATTCTGCTGCTGTTTTGTTTTTAAGGAGTTAAGTTTATAAGCTGAAAGAGTTGCTGTTTTAAGGCTTGGTTTTTTTATTTTCTTTATAAGTTATTCTGGTAACTTAAAATATAAATGTTTTAATATATAAATCCAGTTAATATATGTTTATAAAATATATTTACATAAGAAACTAAAAGCTAAGTATAAAATATTTTTAAGAATTAGAAAGATCATATTCATCCCATAATCTCACTGCCCAGTGGTAACCATTTTGATTTTGACTTATGTTTTTCTAGTTTTCTTTATGTGCATACATTTTTTTATAAAAGTGGGATCACTTCATGTTTTCTTCACCATTGCATAATAAGCATTTCCCACATCATTAATATTCTAAGAAATCAACTTTTTATTCTTATGTAATAATAATAAATTTTTTTATCAGACCCCTTGGGCATGAAAGTTGTTTGTGATTTTTTGCTATTTTAAGTAACACTGATATAAATACCATTTAGCAAACTTTATCTTATTTCCGTTCTAATCATTTTTGCATGGAATTAAGTATAATTTTTAGAAAGAAAATTACTGGTTGTTCAGAAAATGAACTTTTGAAAGGTTAAATATAACTAACTGAGCAGTTGAACATGACATTTTGAAAATTTTCATCTTAACTAAATAAAACAAACAATAGTAGGCAGTAGAAATTCACAGCTGCCTCTCAGTTTCCCAGGTACCCATACTCTCCAGCTTTTTAGTCTTTAACTTTCATCCTTGTGATAGAGACCAATGTCCACTCAGGACCAGAGCTCTGCCCTGATGATCTGGTTCATGTGACCATCAGCCATCCACTCTGTTGTCCAGTGACACACATTCCTACCCTCACTCAGCATGTCTTATTTTGTCTGTCACAGTTGCCTGTGTCCCTGGAGTGCTACACAGGGCCTCCCGAAGATAACCTGGCCCTCCTTCAGCTCTACTTCCGGGCCCTGGTTACTGGTACACTCCGTCTGCACTGGTGCCCTGTGCTCTATGCTGTGGCTGTGGCTCATGTCAATAGCTTCATCTTCTCCCAGGACCCAAAGAGCTCAGTAAGTTACATCCCCTTCTCCAAGGGGAGGAAGGGAGCCTGTAATTGAGCTGCCTGTGGGCCAGCTGGGGAGGAGGCAAGGGCCAGGCGAGGCCCTTCTCCCAGTGCCACCTCTCCCTGTTCTGCCACTAGGATGAGGTGAAAGCTGCTGGCAGAAGCATGCTGCAGAAAACTTGGCTGCTGGCAGATGAGGTAGGGCAGGGAACATCATGGAGGGTGGGAAAAGAGTGGGTCTTGGAGACAAAGTTCTCAGTAGGATCTCACTACCCACTTAATAAAGTTTCTTTCCTCTGCAGGGTCTCCGGCAGCATCTCCTCCACTATAAACTTCCTAATTCTGCCCTCCCAGAGGGCTTTGAACTATATCCCCAGTTGCCTCCTCTGCGTCAGCAGTTCCTCCAAAGACTGACCTCAGGGATGATCCAAAAGGGGGTATCGGAGACCTAGTATAGCTGCTACAAAGGAAAAGAAGGATACATTCTTCTCAGGCTCACCAGCAGATGCCAGGCTAGGCAGAAGGGCTTTTTGTCTCTAAGGGAGGGCAGGAGACAGGAACAGAAGGCTTGTCTTCCTGGGAGCAGGCTGTTTGCAATTTTTTGGAGCAGAATGAGCCCTACCATTGTATTCTGGTATCTGGAGCTTCTGAGGGTCTGTGCTGGGAGTGAAGGGTGACTTAGCTATTTACCCTGTCTTGAGGACGAGACACACTAAGTACACCACTGTTTCCTCCCTCTCCTCCTCCTGCCCCAGGCCAAGGTGTATGAATGTTATACACTGAATGAAGCTTGCACTGAAATTAAAAAAAATATCTCCTGGGTATCTGATTTGGTCTCATTTCAGACATATTAGTTAAGGATTGTTACTAAGAGATGGGTTATCCCAGGGGAAGAAGCGGGACTACTGGGAGAGAGATGGGGGAAGAATCAAGTGGGATGTGAAAATGGAGTCCACGTCTGGGACAGTGAAAATGTGGGTCCCAGTCTGGAGTGGATCCAGGCCAGGGCAATGCTCTTTGGAATGGGGTACTTCTGGAAAGGCTCTCAGCAGTCCACTTGGAGTGTCCTTAGTGAGGTCAGCATCTTATCTCCTTATGGTCTCTTTCCATCAACTGCTATATCAAGACATAAAGAAGCCAAAAATCAGACCTGTGCGGCAGCTGTCTTAATCTGTTTGGGCTGCCATAACAGAATACCACACAGACTGGGTGGTTTATAAACAACAGAAATTTATTTATTATGGTTCTGGAAGCTAGGAAGACCAAGATCTGCTGGCACATTTGGTGTCTGGTGAGGGCCCATTTCCTCACATGGCAAAAGAGACATAGGAGCTCTCTGAGTCTTTTTACAAGGGTACTAATCCTGTTGCACATGTGAGGAAACCCTCATGACCTAATCACTTCCCAGAGGCCCCCGCCAGACACCCTCACACTGGAATTCGGTTTCAGCAAATTTGGCGGCAAGCAACTTTCAGTCTGTAGCACTGTCCTACAATACCCCTCTGCTGTGGGCTTTATTGGTGGTAGGTCCCAACTGCAGAGTTGTGGGTCAAAGTGTAAACTGGTTCATTGGTTCATCTCTCTTGGTAGAGTGTCCAGGTGGTTCTTTTGTCTGAATTCTAATATTTAAGTTTTCTTAGTGTCATTTGCTGTGTGGTAATACTTACCATTGCATTTGCAGGTCACCAGAGTGAGTGTGTGCCGTCAGTAGGTAGAACCCACTCCCCATTAGTGGAACTGCTAGACACAGAATTATGTAATAGGTTTCATTAAGCAAATACAGTATCTGCAAACAACAATACTCAAACTTAAGTGATAAAAAACACCTGGAGAGTGTGTTAAAACAGATTGTTGGCCCTATACCAGTGTTTCTGATTTGGTAGTTCTAGGGTGAAACCCAAGAATTTGCATTTCTAGCAAGTTCCCAGGTGATGCTGTGAGGCTGTCCAGGCCCAACCACTTCAAGAACTATTGACTCACTGTGACCTTGCAAAATAAATTCTTGTCATCTCATAGTAGGTTATCTACAGAGTTAAATGTGGCATGGTTACCAGGGTGGGTATGTACATAATCACTGTTAGATCATTTCTGGCACTATATACTCAGCTTTACCAAGTAGCTAACTACTCTTTTTTCAAGTGTTTTCTTTTAAACATAGATGTCAGTCTTTATTAGTATTTTGTGCAAAAGAATGAGGAAGACAAAAGACTGTCTGAAGGCTGAGTGGCCCTCAACAGTTGTAGGGGTGCCTTGTAGGTTACAGAGCAATTTCCCGTCATGTGATCTTAACAGGTGGTGGGGACAGCTGTGACCTGTGCACCATCACCCACTGATTAGGGATGTTAGTACTAGCACTCATCTGACATCAGGATCAGGCTCTCACCCCGTGGGAGTAAGAAGTTGTGCATAGAATTAACATAGGCAGTGGAATTGTATGAGGTGAACCCGGAGATGCATGTTTTTGAGGGCAATGGTTCTGCCTTGCAGTACAAGGGCACTGACAGACACATAATTTAAAAGCGGTGATGCCTTGGGGCAGGTTGAAAGCATTTCCCATGTGTTATCAACCCCCACCCCCCACTACCAATGAAGTGCAAACCCCACTGCTCCTGATGGCTAGAAATGTAGAAACCCATTGGGGTGTGGGGTGTGGCTCTCAACTTTCTCAAGCTCCTGCCTCAAAAGGGTGGGGTCATTCTTCCCCACCCCCATCTTATACCGGCACCGTTCCCTGGAGCAGCCAGCAGCAGACCCAATGGGCAAAGACAGTCCTTGGGTGCAAGCTCCGAAAGGCTTTTCCAAGTAGTGTGGGGACCTCGCTGGCCATACACCCCGCCCTTCCCTCCGACAACCCGGGGTCTGAAATGGATGTGGCCAGGCAGGCTTTAGGACCCCGCGGTACCTAGCAAGCAGCTGCACACTCCTGGAAGTGGCGATCGGGGACGAGGTGGCAAGGTCTGCGCCAGCAACTCCAGCGGCGGCAGAGCAAACGCGATGGGCCGCTCTGGCCGGCTACTGCTGTGGCTCGGAGCCGCAGGTAAGTGCCTTCGGGCAGTCAGGCAACCGTCCGACCAGAGGCGCCTTTTTAGGCTTGGGTGCGGCGGTCGCAGAAGACCGGGTCCCAGTGGCCTCCAGCCGTCTCGAACTCTGGCGGCCAAAGCTCTCGGTCGGGTTCTCGCGCAGTGCAGTACGTGCTTGCATCCGAGGATCCCGATCACGCATCTTGGGCAAGAGGGACGGACAGGCCCTGGGGTCTCAGCAACGCCTGGGGTTGGGACCAAGCCAAGTCGAAGAAAGGACGCGGGGCCTGGAGGACTGAGCTCAGTGCGGCCCTCAAGTCATTCACCGGGAAGGGCTCTCCCGCGAAGAAACTTGCAGAGTTGCCAACCCGCATCTTGCAGGGCTTGGGCGGCCAGGGTTGGATTGGGGCCGGCTTCCAGACGCTGGTGTTCCTGGCTGGGTGGAGTTAAGGGCGTGGCCGCGAGAGGCAAGGGCTGGCTGTGAAGAGTTTATCTGCTGTCCTCCGTAAACATCCTGCCCTTATCCTAATCCCACTGTCTCCCTGTCACCTTTCAGGAGCCATTCTCTGCTCCAGTTCGGGGTCTCAGGTGCTAGTTCCAAACCCCTGGTACTCCAACGTCACCTACCCGCCTAGTGGTCTGGAGCCAGCCTCTCCCTTAATTTTCCCAGGTGAGCACCTTCCTACCTTTTCCGCTCACCATCCCAGGCCCAGGCATGTGCTGTATGACCCTTCGCTCTCTCCCTGCTCCCAGGCACCGAGGGGCCTTGGCTCTTCTCCACCTGCGGGGCCAGCGGGCGGCGCGGGCCCACACAAACACAGTGCGACAGGGCATATGCCGGCAGCAGCGTGGTGGTGACAGTGGGGACCACCGGGCCTCTGAGAGGCGTGCAGTTGTGGCAGGCGCCACGCCCTGGCCAGTACCTGTAAGTGCGGAGCAGGGATGGAAGTGGGTGGTGACCTGGGAGTCTGAGGTTCTGCCCTCAGGGGAATGAAGGTCACGTGTGCCCCACGCTGCATCGTAGGGTCTTCCGCAGCCACTGGTGGCCCAGGCGACCTTGACTGCCCCTTCTAACAGCGGAATCCGGGGAAACGTGGCAATAGTGGCCACTGAGTTAGCTGGTACCTGGAAGGAAGCCTGTTCCCACCAAGTGGAGGGCCCGTACCCAGAGCGGTGCCAACGGGTGGCTTGAACCTGCCCTCATGTCCATTAAGCCTACTGAAATAAGTATAAATCTGATTTTATGGTGTGTAAAAGTTTCCCCATCCCTTCAAAATCAGCGAATGGCCTCTAAGTGCCTCAGATAAATTCTGGAGCCAATCTCTGCCCCAGAAGGGTGGCCCAAAGACCGAAGGTCGAAGGCCGGGGACTCAGCACCTGCTTTCCGCAGTATCTCAGCCTACGGAGCCGCGGGCGGCAAAGGCGCCAAGAACCACCTGTCGCGGGCTCATGGAGTCTTCGTCTCGACCGTCTTCTCCCTTGCTCTCGGAGAGCCGCTTTACATCATCGTGGGACAGCAGGGAGAGGATGCCTGTCCCGGAGTACGAGAAGCCAGGGGAAGGGGTAGTTCAAGTACCCCAAGACGAAGTCAGGATGGCGGGCGGGGGCGTTTCGGGGTGTTCAGACATCTGCGCTGCGAGGAGAGTGCCTGGGGCCTCGCTGATTTCCGGCGCCCGATGCCCGCAGGGGAGCCAGGAGAGCCAGCTCGTCTGCCTCGGAGAGTCTCGGGCGGCTGAGGAGCACGCAACAGATGGGACTGAAGGGACTCCCGGATCGCGGCCCTGGGCCGGAGGCGGCGGGGGTGGCGGAGGCGCCACCTACGTCTTTCGGGTTTGTGCTTGCTTCCTCGAAGTCCGCTCCCGCCCCTAGCGCTTAGCACTGGCATCCCAACCCTCTCCGCGGGTGCGCACTGACAAATTCCATGTACGGGCCTTGGGGTCCCCAAATCCCTCAGCCCGGCTGGGAACCCCGTCCCTTACAACAATCGCTGGGGCGGGAACCCTCGCTCAGTGCCCGGGTCCTCGCTCAACGGCCGGCGGGCGCGTCCCTGAACGTGCCGCTGGCCCCGCAGCTGAGCGCTGGCAAGCTGGAGCCGCTGCTGGTGGCGGCCGGCGGAGGCGGTCGGGCCTATCTGAGGCGGCAGGACCGAGGCGGGACTCAGGCCGCCGCGGAGAAACTGGAGAATCGTTCGGCGGCGCCCGGGAGCAGCGGGAGAGGCGGGGCGGCAGGTGAGGTCGCGGGGGCGGTGGGAGAGGCCAGCTCGCACCCCATCCCGCTGCCAGCCATCCTGCTGTTGCTCCACAGGTGGAGGGGGCGGCTGGACGTCGAGGGCCCCCTCTCCGCAGGCCGGCCGCTCCTTGCAGGAGGGAGCGGAGGGCGGCCAGGGCTGCGCAGAGGCCTGGGCCACGCTTGGCTGGGCTGCGGCCGGAGGCTTCGGGGGCGGCGGAGGGGCCTGCACTGCGGGTGGAGGCGGCGGTGGCTACCAGGGTAGGTGCACCCTTGGGGAGGGCGGCCGGGCAGCCCCCAGGGTGAAGTGAGGCTAGGGCCTTAGAACAGGCCAAGTCCTGCTGAAGGATAGGAAAGAAAGTTGAGCTCTGCCGCGCAGGCCAGAGCAGGTTGAATAACAGCATTTAGAAAAAGAGATCACAGAAGTGCAAAACACACCTGCGGAATGGAGTCCCTAGATTTCCATTTAAATCCAGGATCTTTATCATAACAACAGATCCTCTCTTTCTCTACAACAGTCCCAACATTTTAGAGCTGGCTGAGTTAACAGGCTGAGCAGGAAGGCAGAAAGACAGGGA